AGGCTATTCTTATCTTTTTTTATGTTACAAACAGCTCTTAACTTCCCATCAATGTGTTTAATATAATATATTTGACAAATATTAAGTTACTTCGTCTTTAGACTGCCGTGACACTCTTTTTCGACTCGTAAGTAAGTAGTTTTTCATTCTCTTGACAGTAAAACTAATGTTATGTTTGTACGTGTTTTCATAACGACCGACTTTAACCAGCCAATGGTAAGTTTCCATTCTATAGTTAGATAGTGACGTCATTTATAATAGATGTCTCACCGACAGACTCGCCGCCGCCATCTTCCTTCAATGAAGTGAATAATGCAATGAACAAGGCGTTTTATAGATAAAGTATAGCCTCAATACTGTATTGTCTTATGTTTATTTAGCTCCTTACTGTCATGGGAAAATGACAAAAGGACCTTTTCTTGTTAATTCTGTACTAAATCTTTTACTTTAACTGACATGGTATCTACGAATTTCGGGTAGTAAGGTTCTTGAACTATATAAAACTATATCAACACTTACTATAGTAATCAATAAAATACGCTTACTATTTAAAACACTATATTAACTTACAAAAAATATATGTTGTAAAATGAATATTTTCGTGCTCTTCGTATAAATCTAAGACGATCAAAGTTATGTACATATGTATATTCTTGAGAGGATATTGTACGTTCGCGCGTCTTCCTTTGTCTACCACTATTTCCTTTCCGCCTCTACATTTAAATCTTCACACCGAATTTATAAGTGCTATAAGTGCATTATATTTTAAATTTACTTTTCTTAAATATTTCAGGAATTTTATCTTTTTATACAAAATAATATTCCTGCTAATGAGATCTAAGACACTCACATCTCGTTTGCCCGTGATCACGATTGCTTTATAATCAAAATGTATAATATAATTTATAATCGAAAATAAATGTCGCGTATTATACACGAAAATATTAGTTTAATTTAATATTCCTACTGTTTAGTTGACAGTTACTAATCGAACTGTAAAATTGGATTACGTAATGTTTTAGCGATTCTTTTTATATATTATCAAATCTTTATATGCATATTATATTAAAATTAAATCCCAATACACAAATGCAATAACAGTATATTAATATAAGTCAGGTTATCACAATACTGCCAAGTGCTATTCTCCTTGACATTTCTAAAGGTTCCGGGTGTAGGGTATCACAGAGTTATGTTAAACTTTGTAAATAAAATTATATATTAACCCACTTGTACGATAAATTCGAACAATTGATATCTGAAACGTAGGAATAGTAGGTATGTAAAACATAGGTTTATAAGAAAGGCTTACTATAAGTAATAAACTAATTCGAGAATACCTTTCTCGAGGTAGTATAGTGTTAGGGTAAAAGTATGCAACAGATTAGAAAAATCTCCCGGCATTAAAATTTGCTTTAAAAAATAGCTTTATGCTAAATAAAGCTATTTTTTATTAAATCATGTCCCTCACAATCTTGACAATGTAAGGGAAAAAATAAAGTTTAATGCTTCCTACTCCAGAACGATGATTTAAGCGTACTGAGAAGGAAATTAAATTTAAGCGTTAAATAAAATGCAATTGCATGTGTTAATTGATGTTTATTAATTCTCAGAAGCTTGCCGGAGGTGTTATTCAGATGTTGCGCGCGCGCAGGAGTCCCAGGGCAGAGCGCGCGCGGCTCGCACGCCACGCGGTCAACGTCCGCGCACCCTAGACGATACATTGTATTATTATACGGTATTATTATTATTATATCATAGAATTAATTATTATTAAAAGTATGTATTTTTGATTTTCCTTTCGTTTTCATTTAAAAATTACTGAACGTATGTATATGTTTCATTGAGACTTTATATACAGTTATTGTAGTTCATTTCATGTTATCGAAAGTTTATAAGTATTTTAATCAAGCAAAACTTCTTTTACTATTTATTCGATCTATTAGAATATATCTAATTGCTGTTTAAATCAAACTAAAAAAATCCTTGGATATAATATTATTACCATAGCAAAGATTTATCATATTAAACACTGAAATCTCAGCTTACAATTATTAATCTGTATTTATAATTTTCTAATAACCGAAAGCCAGCCGACTTAACGTTTACGCTTGCTTGCCTGAATTTATATTTTGTTTTAATTACATTTATTTCGGATTATTATTTGATATTCCTTTAATGGGCATATGTAGACTGTATTTAAATTATGAAAATTAGGTTTTTTAATGCTAGAATTCGTAGCACTTCATCATTGTTTTAAGTTTTATTATCTAGAAGTAAGATATAAATAATAATTTTAGTTGAACTAATTCCGAGACAAAGGAATATTTTTACGTCGGTCGTTTTAAATGTTACCGCTTCCTACCTTATTACTCATTGTCAGTTTTCAATCATAATTGTGTTATTTTAATCATAAACATTTTAAAAGTCAATTATGTAATTGTAAATTCGGTATTACAAGAAATTGTACATACATATAAATACTTATAAGTACAAATTTTTAAATGAAAGATTTGTCTGTTCTCAATATTTTTATTTTGTTACAACTTTTAGCTTTTTCTAATTACGTCTTTTTTTATTATTATTTTTTGTGTGATTTCTCACGCACTTAATACATTAACACAAAATCAATAAATAGGTCAAAAGCGAACATCCAACCATTATGTTGAATGCATGATTATAAAACTGCCTTCAAATAAATTATTAACTATAAAATTTATTTAATTGTTAAACCAAGCTACAGTTAGTTGGAATTTATGATTATTAAATGAAGCCTTCTATGTCATTACGTAACTATTATTGATCGTGATATTAATCTGTGTTGTTGGCATGCAAGCTATATCGTTTATAGACTAAACAAAAATATTAACAATATTTTTTTAATAAGTAGGTAAAATAGTAAGTTAATGTTGTGTACTAATTTTTTCTTAGTTTCACCACTAAATCTACTATTAGTATTTAAATATCGACATATTCTTTTCATTTATTCCTATTTTCCTCAAAAGTAAACAGTAATATATCTGGTACTTGTGTCATCTTTATCGTATTAAGAGTTTCATTGCTCTTTATCCTCAATTTATCCTAAACATTCCCTGGCTCAGCGACTTAATACAAGCTTGAATTGTAAATTACCCGATACAGGAGTCACATGGCTGTAATTACAGGAAGTATTAATACAGTCATTGTGACAATCGCTTTGTGTTCGTGAGAAATACATTCATATACTCAAAAATAATTTGATAAACGCTTGTAATTTTACTAACTAAAAAGACTTAAAATACAAAATGGCTCTTTTACTACAAACTTATTATGTTTAAAACATAAGAGTTTAGTTAGTTTTTATATAATTCAATACAAGTTTTAGTACTACTAGTAAAAATATTTTTCATCGCCTCTATAAAGACATTTTTCTTACTTATTTTAACATGCCCATATAAATTTTTATACCGACTTCCATTTAAGTCTCTGACGATAATATTATAACAAATTTACGAAAAGATAGTTAAGTGCAGTTAAAGAATAAATAACAAAAGATATATTTAAAGTGTACCTTTATTGCGTTATGGGAAAAATTAATTCCCATAGTTTTCAAGCGCGTACATTTCAACCGAGAAGTTTTAATTTGTCCTATAAAGTTTACTCTCGACTTGTAAAACACTTACCTCAATAAATTAGGTTGGCGTACTAAGGATTATCATGGAAAAATGAAAATTCTTTTAATCTTCTGTCTACTACACAATATATATGAGACAAAATTGCTTATGATGTATAAATATTCATAATTTAATTAAGTTTTCTTCTTATGGCTTTATAATTAGAGATTACTTATGATTATCTCTTTTCTCTCTTATTACATATTACAACCATTTACTATATGACTTCGGTTTATACATTTTTGGTATGAAAATCACTTTTTTTTCTAATGATAACAAACTTGTATTTTATACATATTAGATTTAAATTATTGAATATAAGTAGATATTATGCGGATTTATATCGTTTTAGTGTTTTTTGCAATTATAAAGTCTCCTAAGCCGTTTTTTGTTTCTTCTATGACTGCAAGTTAGGATTTTGGAGGTTATTAGAATGGACTAAATGGATTTAATTTTTTTTATATTGTCTTAGTGTTTTTTGCAGTTATAAATACATAAAATATTTATGAATTGCAAAGATCTCATTATTTGTTCAGAAACAGCAAGAATATTTTGATATTAATAATTATTTTTGGAACAAAATAAAGATGTGAATATGTTTCAGGTCGGACATGAAAAATCTCGATCAATTGCTGGCTGTTCCTATCAGCGAGTACGTGGTGACTTTCATCTCTTTAGTAGCCGCGGCCACACTGCTCTCGAGGACGACAGGTTCATACCTACATTACGTATTAAAGTTACATTAAAATATGACCAGCATTTTTTAACCTTATATTTTTAACGTTATATAGCTCGCAAATAATTCAAAATAACCAAAACCAGCCAACATATTTTGAACCATGAGTTTTATTTGTATTTCGATGATCATTGAAATATACTTATAAACTTGTTGTTTTTTGTATTTATTTATGATAATCAAGAGTACATATATTTTTTTGCATTCAGAAGGGCGTACGGCCCGTAAGTGGTCGGCGGGAGAAGGCGGGCGCAAAGAATACCGCCGCGCGCGCTTTCAATACCATACACACCCGCCCATTTACTGTTAGCAGGTACAACAAATATTACTATAAATAATCTCTTATAATAGAACTGCCTTTGTGTCATGATACCAAATAAAATGTATCTGGTTTAACAGTCCCAAATTAAACGACTAAAGATATCTTTAAATGAATCTATCTTTATTTTTAAGTATTACAGATATTTTGCTGTGTTTAATATCTATTTTAATAAAGGTAAATTTAATATTCATACTATTTTAATGTTCAATATATGATAAAAATACTTTTTCTTTCATTATGTAAGTTAAATTTCCAGTAGGCAGTTCACTCGGGGGGAGTTCGATAGACAATGTCCGAGGACTTGGACTCGATCAGCGAGGAAGAACGAAGCTTGTTCCGACCTTTCACCCGAGAATCATTGGCCGCTATCGAATCTCGCATAGCAGAAGAGCATGCCAAGCAAAAGGAACTCGAGAAAAAACGAGCGGAAGGAGAGGTGAGTGACGAATAATGACCGAGAGTTTTCTGAGTGACTAGAGCTGTTCATACAGACCATTGAACAATATTCTGAACAAAAAACAACGTTTTGATACATGGTAGCGATAATATAATACATTTAACAAAATAAACATATGGTTTCTAGAGCGATTGTATCACAGATATGACGGATAACTCTTATTTAAACCATTCCAGACCGATTTGGGGCGGACGAAAAAGAAAAAAGAAGTAAGACTGCTTGCTTGCCCCTTTTACCTCTTAAGGCTCGTTTTAGAAATTAAATCAAGCAAGTTATCGCTGGTTCCAAATTATATTTGTGATGTCGTTTATGGAGACAATTATTGGCGAGAATAGCCCGAGTGCGATAACTTGCACTGTATTCTAATTTATGCATATTGATCGCATTTTTGAACACATCGCTTAGTCAACCAAGTCGTTATATTATCAATACCCCAGAGCTTAGCTGAATCATTTAGAGAAACTGATAAATGATATTTAGATAAAAAATAAAATGCTTGTCATATTTTTTTTTGCATCATAAAAATATGACGGCAGGAGATTTGATGGAGAAGTTTTAAGAATTGGTTGAACAAAAAATATATTTAAACTGAATCCTAAACTCCGGTTAGAGATAGAATTATTTTATCCCAGTGTTGATAGAGCCCTTGAGTTTAAACCTAAAATTAGAATACTTACCTAAACGCCAGTGTAAAAACCTCTTGATGTTGTAAGCCAAACCCTCTGTGTACAATGATCCGAGAATAAACATGAAGGAACACTAGCACATAACATTTACCATCATCATGCATTGCACACAATTGGCTCATGTTTGCAAATCATCGGCTGCTGTCATTTAGGTCTAGCATGGTGTGTTCACCTAGCTAGTTTAGCGCAAGAATTGGAACTTCCCTCTATTTTGATATCGTAACACTTCAGGCGCATTTTATGGATAGGTTTTAATGATTAATAGCGTTTAAATATACAATTTATCAAAAAACTGTTTACGTAAAGTCAAAAATAATCATTAATATGTAATCGATATGCAAATATATTAAAAATAATAATATAATATGAATTCAAAGAAAATATATGTACGTCCTAAATTAAAAGTATATTTCAAGCGGTTTAATATGTGGCAGGTCTAGTTTGTTTACTAAAAAGGTAACACTATAGAGGGATAAGTTCTAAAACGCTTCTAGTTTTGGCAAATTTCGCATCATGGTTTCGCAACACCGACAGCAGCACAAAAAGCAAAAAGCTTTGAACGCGCTCACGAGCCATGCTCAAACACAGTAATAATACTGATTACCGAAATATGTGTTATTCTCTGAAAACTGCCGCTATAGCACCAAAACGATACATGCAAAATTAACTTTTGGAGAATAATACTGTGAGATTTAAATAGTATTATTACAATGCCTTGATTGAGTAGTGTAATGTGATGATATAAAATGTCATTTGAAGCAAAATTTATTATACTTTACATGGTACAGACATACAGAAAAAACATTCAATGCAAAACGAAAAAAAAAACACTCAATTAAAGCAACTGCGCACTGCGGATGTTATTGTGAAATCAAAATGAGTGATACATTTATTGGTTCTATGAAGTCCTCAGTGCGCGCTTGCGTATTAGATATAGAAGAACTGCGTATAGAGATAGTTATAATATACATAGAAGGTCCAGTCATGCTACTTTTCTTATTTCAATTCGCTGATGGTATATCACTATACGCTGTTAAGAATTACTTTAATGATATGGTAATGATTGTATGGAATGATTTAGGTGCGTTACGATGACGAAGACGAAGATGAGGGTCCTCAACCAGACGCGACTCTGGAACAGGGCCTGCCACTGCCGGTCCGGATGCAAGGCTCCTTTCCGCTCGAACTGGCCTCCACCCCCCTCGAGGACATTGACCCTTTCTACCACAACCAAACAGTGAGAAAACCACCAATATTGACATCATATATATTAAAATACATCATTAACTACTTTAACTCAAACAAATATAAACTTGATAAATTAACAAATCGATTTGAATGTAAAATAACTTTTCTAAGAACTCAATAACATTTAATAGCAAAGTAATAACTGACATCTGTTGAAGTTAAAAGGATCTTTATCACGAATCGCGTTCAGCAGTTTTATTAAGTAAATGTTTGATAGTTACTATATTTTTTCGATATTATTAAAAAAATGTTGTTGATAAAAAATATCTATGTATAAATATTATATGCAAGGCTTTTTTAAAGTCGTTTTTTTTAGAACAATCTCTTAGTGTAACAGATCGATTGTTGCGTAATCACAAAGATGTACCATTTTGTTTCTGTTCCAGACTTTCGTAGTCATAAGCAAGGGTAAAGATATCTTCAGATTTTCGGCGACCAATGCCTTATGGATATTGGATCCTTTCAATCCAATAAGAAGAGTGGCTATATACATTCTAGTACATCCTTTGTTCTCACTATTTATTATTACCACCATTCTTGTGAACTGTATACTTATGATCATGCCTACCACGCCCACCGTTGAAAGTACTGAGTGAGTATGATTTGAAAACAAAACTATGTAATATAATAAATGAAATAATTACATATAAAATTATTACGTCATCTGATCATTTGTAGAATGCACGCTAGTTTCCAAAATTATTAGTGTTCAAATAGTTTTCGAATTGTCTAAATGCCCTTGATTTAGATGATCGGAATTTTATAATATATAATTAGAATACGTGACTAGTTTTGACATTGAACGAATTAGAAAAATTTATAAATGTATGTATAATAATGTCCTTGAGAATAGAGCTAGTGTATCGAGAACTTAGCTAGGCAGTGGGTTGATTAACAAAACTAGCTTACCTGCCGCAATAAAGTTTAACGTCAAGCACCGTTATGTCAGATTGAATTCCTTACTTCTTGCAAAATAATCGATAAATACCTCATTCTGCATTATGTAAGTTTGTATTGCGGACTTCGATGTGTTCTGAGTGAAATGTTGAAAGAACGAGAGCTCATCAGAGACTTAGTGATCTTACACATCATTAACACGACACAGAGATGCAGCGTTCCTTTCTATCTAGATACCCATTACAATTTTCTATCTCAACACTACTAACTAACCATAAAATTGTAAATACATAGGTATGTATTTCAATTTCATCTAGTAATAGGTACTTAGCAGATTGTATTTGTAATGGCAACCTTTCATAAATTAAAGTTAGATGTTTTGATTGTTTTTTTTATTATTATTTTATTGTGACGATATGTCTACTTTATGAGCGGCGTTCCACAATGGAGGTGAATTTTTCAGAGTTATCTTTACCGGAATCTACACCTTTGAATCGGCGGTGAAAGTAATGGCCAGGGGTTTCATACTACAGCCATTCACATACCTTAGAGATGCATGGAATTGGCTTGACTTCGTAGTTATAGCTTTAGCGTGAGTAGTAGACATTTTTATAATACTTTCGTAGTAAAACGTTACTACCGTTAAACAGTAGATTATTTTACTTTCTTTTTACTTAATTATATTTTCATAGTTATATTATAGAAAAATTATAAAGACTAGAAATTTTGTATGTTAATATCAATTCTTTTGTGCGTCATTGTTTTAACGATATAGCAGACTATACTGTAAGACTATGTAGGTTATAAGTGATGATAAACAAGATGTTTTAGTGAGGTCATAGTTTTCTGTAGTTAGATATAATTAATCTAGATGTTGTGGTTGTCGGTGTGTGTTGCAGTTATGTGACGATGGGCATAGATCTCGGCAACTTGGCCGCTCTCAGAACGTTCAGAGTTCTCCGAGCTTTGAAGACTGTGGCCATCGTACCGGGTAAATTTATTTGTATAATTATATTACCTAGGTGTTTTGTAAATTATTTAATGAACAGTAATTGGTATAGGTTATTAGAACTCGTAAAGTAGTTATGCTGTAATATCGGCTTATAAAAAGTAGTTATACCTTTTGGGCTAGGTTTTTTCGATAAGTAGGGAAATGAATGGTTAAAAAGAAATTGAGTAAGTAAAGTTGTTTTCCTAGTTACGGTTTTATGGAGTGTGGTGTGCAAAATTTTCAATATAGATAATGGTTATAAGAGTAAATATATGAATATGCTAAATCGATGTGGTTCCCACAGGCTTGAAGACAATCGTTGGTGCTGTAATAGAGTCGGTAAAAAATCTGCGGGATGTGATCATTTTGACCATGTTTTCTCTATCTGTGTTCGCCTTAATGGGACTACAAATATATATGGGTGTGTTAACGCAGAAATGTATCAAGGTATTCCCCGAAGATGGTAGTTGGGGGAATCTAACCGACGAGAATTGGGAAAGGTTTTGTCAAAATGAAAGTAAGTTATTACTCCCTTAAAGCTATATAAATCATTCTTTAAGAGTGAATATAATTATGTTTTTCTTTCCAGCAAACTGGTATGGCGGAGACGGAGAATATCCATTGTGTGGTAATTCATCGGGAGCGGGGTAAATAAAAAAATGATTCATTTTCATTAAAATAACAAAGTGAAGTAAGAATTTATTTCATAAATCATTTGTTTTAGGCAATGTGAACCGGGCTACATGTGTTTGCAAGGTTACGGTCCCAATCCTAATTATGGATACACAAGTTTCGATACCTTTGGCTGGGCCTTTCTATCGGCCTTCCGTCTCATGACTCAGGATTATTGGGAAAATTTATATCAATTGGTAAAATTAAATACATATATTTTTTTAAATACATGATTGCCTGAACAGTGAAGTATGACAAATTAAAAATAATGTTTTAGGTGTTGAGATCAGCGGGTTCGTGGCACGTTTTGTTCTTCGTTGTGATCATCTTCTTAGGTTCGTTCTACCTCGTGAATCTGATCTTGGCCATCGTCGCCATGTCATACGACGAGTTGCAAAAGAAAGCCGAAGAAGAGGAACAGGCGGAGGAGGAAGCACTTAGGGTAGGAACAAGAAATATATAAAAAAATATGTTGCTGTATCAAAGAGACATCATCACTTTGTGTAAATGTGATTATTAAAAGTCAAAATAACACTTCAAATCTCAGGAAGCGGAACAAAAAGCGGCAGCACGAGCGGACAAGCAGGAGGCACGAGAAGCACACGCTCGCGAGCAAGCAGCAGCAGCGGAAGCGGCAGCCTATGCAGAAGCACACCCCGCCAAGTCCCCCAGCGACTCCTCTTGTCAGAGCTACGAACTGTTCGTGAACCAGGAGCGCGGCAACCAGGATGACAATACGCGCGAGCGCATGTCCCTCCGTAGCGACCCCTTCCAAGACTCGGTGAGCACTCAGCCCACGCACAAGCCACCCGCCACCGAACAGCACCACGAACCAGCACGACGACAGAGGAAGGTCAGCATGGTGAGTATGCGCCCCACACGCCTCACACTCGCTGTCAATGTTTCCAACTTTTTATACAAATAAATCATATCTGACTCGCTAACTGATAATTCTTTTGTTTGCTAATAATATTCGAATTACTTAAACCATTGCTATACTGGAGACTTCAAAAACAATTCTATTACTTTTCAATAGTTAAGATATCTATAATAAATTGTTAGGCAGTTTTTCAAACAGTACAGTTTTCTTAGCTTGAATTTTCCCATTATAGAAACATTGACAGCGAAGCACTCTCTTTTCAACTTGATTGTATCAAAAATCACGCAGCTTTAGCAAGATGAGCAAACGCGCAAAAGTTTTAATCGATCCATATCATCAACACATGATCACGACAATTGAGTTGAAAAGAATTTATATAAATAATTTATTTTTGATGTAAGCTTAATACCCTTACTTTCTTCCTTAATCATGAGCAAATATGCAGATTATGATTATATTATGATTCTTAGCAAAGAAAAATTCAATCTATCAGCTTCTATAACTATCAAATTATCTGAATATTTGTTATATCATCCAATTATACTGATCTTATTTTAATCATGAACTTAATTTGTCAAACATTGTGTCATTTTATTTGGATCTTGGTTTCGAGGCATGCTATTTGTTGAACCTACCATCTCTGCTGCAATCATCATTCCATCATAACAAACTTTGGCTGCATTCGCGTTATTTATCAATATTATTTATGTTAAAACTCTTCTCTTAGGTAATAATTAGTTTGTCTTTAGTCGTCTTTATAATAAATGTCTTAGACATCGCTTTAAAAAAAATGCGTTTTGTATCAAATGTCCAAATATGAAATAAATTTTGCATGATTTAATACTAGCGGTTAAATTATTGCACTGTAGTTTATTCGTTTTATTTTAGAGTATCTCGATCTCCAATATTATTTTTTCGTGTCTAGGGTCTTGTATAACATTAATTACGTAATACTAGTTATGAAACGTGTTTGGAATGAATACTATTGGAGAAAATGAGTCTATTGTCATGTTAGATTGTTTCTTTCGTAACGTGGTCTTAAGAACGGGCCGAGCTGTGACTGTCGTCGGTGGAGAGGTAGGTTCGGTCTATAATAACATAACTAATTAATGATAATTATAATAATCATACAAGTTACAATTAACAAATAGTCAATTCCTCAATTTTGATGAGTTTAAATGCGGAGGCTTCAGAAAAGAACAGTTCTCATGACTATAGATGTAGAAGTATAAAATATAGCTACGGTAGGATTTAGTATATGCAAAAAATGCATGTAATTTAACCCCACATTACTTCATGTGTTTATAAACAAAGTTACTTGGACTAACTGTTGCTTCAAACTCATCGTCATCGCTTGTGCGAACTTTGTTGATGTGATGTTTACAATAAGACTCTAGTAGTTTATAATTTACGTATATTAAAACATACAAATTAACTACTGCATCTTATTGTAACACGAGATCATTTGTTTGTTTCTGGTTTTGTTCGTTTCTTTGTAGTTTCATTCCATTCAAACGTGTTTCAATTGTTTATCAAACACTTCATCTTATTCGTCTGCAACTTCCTTCTTCCAAAGTTTATTTGTTCTGATTCCTTTGTCCTCTTGGTGGATGACTAGTATACTTTTAGAATGTTCTCGATGATAATAAATTCACTTTTTCTGTGTATTAAAGGTTCCCCACCCTGAACGCATTAATAAATACGGACTGTTATCATATGGGCCACTGCGCGAAGGCTCGCAGGTTTGTCCAATCAACCACATTGATGTTTGTGTATCCCCATCCCTTTCCTTCACATTATGTGTGAGTATTGTTTTCTCCCTCTTCTCTAAATTTACTTAATAAATTAGCTGTACCCTTTACCCTTATATTGCAGCAATTCATGAAATCGTTTTTTTACTGAGCTATATCAATAAATGCGACTGATCATGCATTGATGCAATTACACAAAGCACTATTTTTTATTTTTTAATTTATTTGTTATTTGTCGTTAATGATACTGTGCGTTTAATTTAATACTTGTTTATCGGCACATGAAAGTAAATTGTTATCTTTGGCAACATATGTAACATCATTGTCGAACTTGATGAAAGCTTAAAGTAATAAAGCCTCTGCGACCAGATCCTTTATAGTAACGAAAATCATCTACATCCCATACTCGATCTGAATTGAGGAACATTTGAGTCAATTACAAAGTAACTTTAGTATTTCTCGAATCCAAATAAAATTAAACATGTCATTATAAACATAAAAGAATGCATCAGAGACGGCTAACAAAACCGGTGTTCAAAACATTACTAAAGTTCAGCCATGATTTAGGCTTCATTATCTCTACCCGGATCACCGTTCAATTTGAGGAGAGGCTCGAGGGGTTCTCATCAAATGGCTTTAAGACCGAACGGAAGGAATCGCTATCCACCCGGAGCTGATAGAAAACCATTGGTATTGTCAACATATTTGGATGCTCAAGAACATTTACCATACGCAGACGATTCGAATGCTGTAACACCAATGTCAGAAGAAAACGGCGCTATTATAATACCGGTGTACTATGCCAATTTAGGTACGTAAAATATTTTGCAAAAGAAAACAATTATTTGTTATAATGCAATACAAGTTAATGAGTATAAAAATAAATTCTTTTTAAATGAAACTTTTATTAATTAATCGACTTTATTTTTGATGAAACAACATACTACCGACGTTCTTGTCTGTCCGTGATCACGGTTGCTGAAAAGTAGCCGAAATGAATAAAGTGTAAAGTCGCGTAGTATATCCGAAAAATATTAGTTTCATTTAAATGAATACTCGCGAAAATCTTACTACTAATTATAATCTTTTTTTATCTAAAAGAAATCCCTTTTAAATTGATTACCACATTAAATTTGAACTTTTTTTCTATACTATAGGCTCGAGGCACTCTTCCTACACATCCCACCAGTCCAGATTATCGTACACATCTCACGGCGATCTATTAGGAGGCAAGGCACAAACAAAGGAAGCCAGATTGAGAGGTCGGTCGGCCTCTAGGAACCATAGTGTGACATCACAACCGCACGCGTACCCTCTGCCACGTCAGGATTCATCATTGGCTTCCAGGCCACTTAGAGAATACGTACGTATATATTGTAAATAAAAGATGTCCTCAAGTTAAGCGTATGGAATCAATATTCTTTTTACTATCTGTATAATTTCTACTATCAATGGAATTCTTTTTCCTTTTTTTCTCATATTATGTTGAATCGAAAAGAATAATTTCACGATCTGAAAGAAAATAAAAGATTTCAATGTAATCATTTGTTAACTTAAGAGAATTAGATTTATTGTCATCTTAAGTTTAATTTATATGGATTACTAGCTTTCCGCCCGCAGCTTCGCCGCGTGGAGTTCGGTTATATCGCGTTTCCAAGAGAACCTTTCAAAAGTCTGGGATAAAAACTATCCTATGTTCATTCTCAAGGTCAACTCTATCTCTGTACCGAATTTCATTAAAATCAGTTCAGTGGTTTAGGCGTGAAAGCGTAGCAGACAGACAGACAGACAGACAGACAGACAGAGTTACTTTCGCATTTATAATATTAGTAGGGATTTTACAAGATTATCCGAATAATATTTAAGCTTTTAGTATTCGACAAGATATTTATATTTGATGAAATAAATTGCAGGAAATAAGTACAACGGAATCCACGGATGAGGCTGGTAAAGTTCTGAAACAATCAAACGACAATCCATTTATAGAGTCACAGAGACCAAACGTTGTGGATATGAGAGGTATGTTACGAATGATTTTTCCTTTACAGTTTGTACTGAAACTTAATATATATGGGTTTATATTAATTTACATCTTTTTGCAAGCTTTTAAATACAAGTTTGATAACTATTTAAATGTATTTTCAATGATTTTCTTTCAGACGTCATGGTTTTAAATGAGATTATAGAACAAGCAGGAAGGCAAAGTAGAGCGAGCGAACAAAACGGTAAGATTAACAAGACGCCATTTAAAATTAAAATGAATGTTCATTGTGTTGTAATAATTATTATATTCAATATTTATTGTTTTCTATATTGATTTATTATATTACTATTAAAAAGATAACTTCTTTTAATATCGCTTGTTTGTTAAATTTTAATATATCAAAAAATAAAATAAATAAATAATACTAATAAAAATGATGATCACACAATGACACTTTAGAATTTTAATTGTTTTTTTTGTTTGATACATACACGCTACATTACACCACAAATAACACAAAGGTATTTGCTCATTATGCAACAAGCATAATTGGCAATTGAACCGTTTGTGGGTGTCATTTACTATTCAGAAAATTTGTGAGCACCGAGCACAAAATTGTACCTCCTGTGAAGCTACGCACCAAAAACTAACACAAAATTTGAACCACATACAGTTTGCCTAGTTCGAGTTTACATCATTAACATAAAAGGAAGTGTTTCGACGTTTACCATTCATAAAACACAATATATTTGGATGGTAAACCTTGAAGTAATCTTTTTTATGTTAAAGATATACTCGTTGTAGGGTTTTCGTACAGAAATTTAAATGAACAATAGCAAAAATTAATTTATTAAGCCACTAAATGTTTTCTTAACCGCATCTTGAAATGGCGAAACATGAAATCGCGTGCTTCTGCTTATCTTACATTGCAAGCTGCAAGCTTTAAAAGCTTTTCCCAAAGCACACTTTACAAAAACAGAATTAACCATAAAAAATGTCTCAATGAAAATAAATAAATACGATAAATTTAAAACAATCTGTTTCTTTTTACGTTTTTTTTTGTATTATTTTATTGTCTTTGTCTGTTTTTTATGAGTTATGCAAGCAACGCATTTAATTTTAAGCAAAGCATGTTATTTTAGTATTAAATATAATTCATATAAAATGATCTTATTTACCTTTTCGAGTATTGTAAATCTTTCAAATGTTCCTGTAATAATAGTAGTGTGCCTCTAACACATTAATAATCCCATCACGATATTCATATTTTTTGTACTGGAAATATAATATTAATAATGAAAGTAGTGATATATTTAAATTAAAGTATCATATAGCATCGCAATCATATGTAGGAAGCAGTATGCTTTGATGCAAGTTGGCAGTTAGTCTTTAGACGCGTCAGATCTTATTGGTTTATGGTGTGAGCACTTCAACTTTGCACTCTGAAAAGTAGACGTGGGAGACCCATTAATACTATTTTAGCATAATCCCATGGTTCCGTTAGTTAAATGACAGCCAACAATATCAAAAAATATGAATATTGGTGTCAGAAATCAGATAAGTAGTCCCAATTAGTGAACCTAAATTTAAACCTGTAGTTACGATTTCGGGTTGATGTTGGTTTAATGATAATGAGCGAATACTAACAAACTTGTTTCTCTCTGCCTCTCTTCAACACACAAAACACACGCCTCGGGTAAACGGGACACAACAGTGTCAGTGTACTACTTCCCAACAGCGGAAGACGATGAGGATGGACCCACCTTCAAAGAGAGACTTCTGGAGTGCCTGATGAAGGGCATTGACTTCTTTTGTGTGTGGGACTGCTGCTGGCTGTGGTTGGAGTTCCAGAAATACGTGGCCCTGCTAGTGTTCGATCCTTTCGTGGAACTGTTTATAACCTTGTGTATTGTGGTCAACACTCTGTTCATGGCTCTCGATCATCACGACATGGACAAAGATATGGATAAAGCGTTAAAGAGTGGCAACTATGTAAGTATATACAATGCTAATAACGCAAAAAAGTAGATTATTGCAGATGATATATCGGTTAATTTCTTACAGTTCTTCACAGCTACATTCGGAATAGAGGCGATGTTAAAGTTAATAGCTATGAGTCCAAAGTACTATTTTCAAGAAGGTTGGAACGTCTTCGATTTTATCATCGTCGCGTTATCATTGCTAGAGTTGGGTCTGGAAGGTGTACAGGGTTTGTCCGTATTGCGTTCATTTCGTTTGGTGAGTACTGTTTTGATTACTTATTAGGCATATATTTTATATAATACACGGTTATATGGATATGAATATATATACATATATTTATTTATAACATTATACACATATACCTAACGACCCTAAGGTGCTTTTATTCAAAGGGATATACATAGGTACGTGAGTGGGTATTTATCTTGATTTTTATCGAATGCATTGTTTTTCAGTGTATTTCAACTTTTAACTATGCTACATTCCACAGTTTGAGTTTTTCTGTTTCGACCATTACACACCACACAACACATATATATTTATATTTGATATAATATTTTCAGCTGCGTGTTTTTAAACTGGCTAAGTCTTGGCCGGCGCTAAACCTTATTATATCCATAATGGGTAGGACAGTGGGAGCATTAGGGAATTTGACCTTTGTACTTTGCATCATTATATTCATATTTGCGGTGATGGGAATGCAGTTATTTGGGAAAAACTATACAGGTTCTCTTTAAAAAGCAATTTAGCATCTCTAAAGAACTTAGGCTTGTTTATTGATTATTAAGCTTCACACTCCCCAGTATATCACACAGGGCTTGATTGACCATTTCATACGAGACCACTCGGTCTCGCAGTGGCTTTATAACACGGAATGTTATAAAGCTATTCCACGCAGCTTGTGATTATAAGTTAAGCTTTGCATCAAGTAATATAGAACAAACATGCAGCTTCGCTTATCGAGGGTATTTCGATGCATCAGGTCGACTGATGGGATCTATGTCAATATTAGGCTGACAAAAAAAATAGTGGATGTAGCCAAAGATAATTAGATAACAAAAATAGATATTAATGAAATAGTACAAAATCGAAAGGCTCTCACATCTAATGTAAAAATATAGTGAAACATATATCCCACTCATACAGAAATAAGTCAACGCACATTTTGACAGGTTACTCGAGCACACATTTGCTAACCCTAGATTAAATTATCCACAATCGCTCAATAACATCCATACCCTCTATAGTCACGTATTGGGCGGTTGTGGCCTTCAGAAAGGTGCCGCAGTAGCATAGGTGAAGCGCCGGTAAGAGAGCTTGTGTGACGCCTTGTTTCACAATTTGTCCTTGCAGCTTCGAGTATTCAAATTGGCAAAGTCATGGCCGACACTTAATTTACTCATCTCTATAATGGGTAGGACGATGGGTGCCTTGGGCAACCTGACCTTCGTATTGTGCATCATTATTTTCATATTTGCCGTGATGGGTATGCAACTATTCGGGAAAAATTATGTGGGTAAGTCGAATTGGTGGGAGTCTTGCATGTTCGTTGGTGTATGTTAAAGTTAGTGACGCGACGCCCGCTGTACTTGTCAGTGAATCTACTTCAAAGGCTAGATAGAAAAGTTACTGAGTGAAATTTGAGAAAATAGCAATAGTTGTGTGATTTACGCGAAACCTAGAATTAATTAATTCTAGAGGTGTGTTTAATGAATAATCATAGCAACTTTTGAAGAAGATTCATTGAGATCAAGTTATTTGTTAAAGTGTGGAATGCGTCCTAGATTCGATCTGAACTCTCTGGTGACATGTTTGACTCCACGCTTTAATTCGGGCTCTTGGTCACGGTGTAAATGTTAATATTGTGTTGATGTGCGTCACACTCTTGTGCTCATCTCGTTAGGTGATTGGCAAGAGTCAATGTTATCCTTCCAAGTGAGCTTTTGTATCAATTGTATTGTACTTTTTTCTTTCAAAGCCCCCAGCGAAGGCGCCTCACTTGTGAGACATTCATTGCCAGCTTTTCTGATACTTTCAATTTTTGCAAACTTATTCTTTCATATATTTAAAAAATCAATACCATCCAGCTCAAATATAGTTTCAAAACACACTAACACTATGCCAACAGGCTGCTAAGTAAAACTTACTATATTGCATGTTTATGCTAGAAGTGATATTCTTAGAGTTTTAATTATTATCAGGTTAGTAACCTTGCTCTTTTCAAGGTAATGCATGGTTTTCTTAACCTGAAATCTTTTACATAAACATGTGTCTCAAACAGAGATGTCGGGTCACTTGATATTTTTGTAATGTCATAAAATCTTTTTAAGATCACTTATAAGCATGATCATTAGTAGTAAAATCATTGCCTGGAAATTGATTTGCACTTTCATGATATAATCACATATTAATTAGACCCGACATCTCTGAAATTTGTGTAAACATGTCAACAAAATAACCAATTCTGTATCAAGTAAATCAAAATCTATTATACTATATTAATTGAAAAAATACCAAAATATTTTTAATGTTCCAAAAGTTGTATTTGTTATTAATTTTTTATTAAAAGAGTACACTTTACTTTATGCTTTACACGAGCTATAAAAATGGCTTCGCTTTAATATGAATTACAAAAATTCTTTTTCTAATTATATTTTGAAATACAGACTACGTAGACCGGTTCCCTGATGGGGATCTTCCTCGGTGGAACTTCACAGACTTCATGCACAGCTTTATGATAGTCTTCAGAGTACTTTGCGGAGAATGGATTGAGAGTATGTGGGATTGTATGTTAGTGGGTGACGTTTCCTGCATACCTTTCTTCCTAGCCACCGTCGTCATTGGCAATCTTGTCGTGAGTATCAAAACGCTTGGTTATCTATTAACATATTTCTACCATACCAAAATAAATTCGTTCATAGGTCCTTAACCTCTTCTTGGCCCTGTTACTGTCAAATTTCGGATCATCGAACTTGTCATCGCCAACAGCAGATCAAGATACGAATAAAATAGCAGAAGCTTTTAACCGGATATCTAGGTTTATAGACTGGGTTAAAAAAAGCGTTGCTGATATCTTGAAACTGGTTAAAAACAAGCTCACGAATCAGATTGCTATTCACGCTCCCGGTAAGAACTGTCCCCGATGTATCACCCGTTGATGTAGCATGTTGTTGTGTGAATTTTAATAATGTTTTTCATATAAATTTGTAATAAATATGAACTAAATTCCTTCTTAATAAAGTTTAATTATATGTAGTATATTCATATACGTCATTGCTCAAATTATCTTGTGGTATATTTATAGATATATTATTACTTATAGAGAAGTTGTGTTTATAATCTATTGTTAAATCTGTACAACGTATTTATAAGACTGCATGATATATTTTTGACGTGAGATAATGTAATAATATATAATTATAAGGCATGTCGTGTTATTTGTGGTACACTGTGCGTTGCTTGTCCCCTAGCATTCAAGTGTAGAGTTCCAGACCTGTTTATAGATTGTTGTGGATTTGTGTTTTTCAACACTAAGAATATTTTTTATTGATGTGTATTTTCGCTTCAATACTATCTGTATCATTGCTAAATATGTATCAAACGCTTTATGTGTTATTTGCATGTACATCGATTTTGTGATTTGTAGGTGAGAGTAACAGAAATGGATGTCAATCATAGTATTGTATAATTATTTAATAAATACTAAGTTGTGTTATAATTAAAAAAATAGACAAATGAAAGATCTGAATGATTATAGTACACACATTGTAATTTAATTCGTTAGTTAGCAAGTGAGACAGGTTTATGTAATCTTTGATGTTATTCGGAATTATCTGGTCAAAATTTTAAAGTGCGATAATTAAGTTTTCGCCCTGGTCTGATTTCTATGCTTGGATGCTGCGCCCGCGCACGGTGGACAAATGACGCGCGACAAGTAGGCTTAAAGGCGGCTTTATGTGGCCGCTGTGTCTCCTCAGAACGCGTTGACAACGAACTGGAACTGGGCGCAGATATAGATGACGGTGTCCTCTACAAAGATAAGAAACTTAAAGATCAAGTGGAAGTTGCTATAGGTGATGGAATGGAATTCACAATACCCGGTACGTGACTGGCTGCAAATGCTTTATACTATGACCTATAACATATATCATGATCAATTTGCATAAATTTTAGGTGATAATAAATACAAAAAAGGTAAATTATTAATGAATAATATCAACGCTATAACGGACAACCATACGGATAATAGGATAAACTGTGAGCTAAACCATCATGGATACCCAATTCAGGTATAGAATGCATCAATTGTTCATCTAAAAAGTACCTAATCAATTGCATTATACTTCTAAATATTTCTGTTCTTTGCTTTATTAATATAAAAGTAAAACATTTGGATAATCTTTATAATTTAACAAAAATAACAAAAATTGTCATTTGTATCAGTAGAAAATATTCTTATTTTTCAGGACGATGATACCATTAGTCAAAAATCATATGGAAGTCATAAAATAAGGTCATTTAAAGACGAGAGCCATAAAGGATCGACCGACACGATAGATGGCGAAGAAAAGAAGGACGCTAGTAAAGAAGAATTAGGTTTAGAAGAAGGTAAATTGAAAATTATTGATTTTCATGGAAAAATATTGCATTGATATCATAAATATCATGTTTTTTTTATAGAAATGATAGCTGAAGAGGAAGATGGTAAATTAGATCTAGCCAAAATTGACATCAAAGCCGGTGAAGGTGAGGTAATGGACTCGCCAGCCGACTGCTGTCCGGAGCCATGCTATCAAAGGTTCCCATTTTTGGCTGGTGATGATGAATCACCCTTCTGGCAGGGCTGGGCTATGTTAAGACTCAAAACTTACAGACTTATTGAAAACACGTACTTCGAAACAGCTGTGATAACTATGATATTACTCAGTAGTTTGGCTTTGGTAAGATTTTGTGTATGAACGGCTTTAAGGTACAATGTTAATGTATGCGAATGATATAATATTGTTTCAGGCTTTAGAAGATGTTCATTTACCACATCGACCTATACTCCAAGACATATTATATTATATGGATCGAATCTTTACTGTAATATTCTTTATCGAGATGTTGATCAAGTGGCTCGCTCTAGGATTTCAGAAGTACTTCACGAATGCCTGGTGCTGGCTCGACTTCATCATTGTCATGGTAATATAAATGTATTAATATATTTATTGTAAATTCAACGAAAATTAATGTAAAAGCTAATAAAAGGAAACTTCTATAATATTTACTTGAACTACAGAAAATACATAAAAAAGTGTTTTTGCTAATAAGAGTTTATAGGAATTTTACCAAGAAATATGCTTCTGAAAGGTATTAAAGTATTAAGGATGTTGGTAATATATTTAACGAGTAACGAGTGGTATCGTTAGTTGTCGCTCGTTAACCACGGAGCCGTGATGGCGGGGGCGGACGACATCCCAGCTTTCCGTTCGATGCGTACTTTACGCGCACTTCGACCTCTGCGCGCCGTTTCCAGATGGGAAGGCATGCGCGTGAGTACGCGCGCTGACTGGTTGCTCAGCAGATAACGTCGTGCTGCCTGCCGCCATATATATAGCATTTTGCATTAACATTTTATTAGCTTCAGTGCAGGCAGCGCGACCAACAAACGTGAGCTTTGACTGTTCAGTGTCTACTGTAGCGAGGACCAAGACCGGCCTCCTTGTCACCAGCTCTTGATGTCGTCTGTTTGTCTGTGGAACTGCTTCTATGTATTTCCCACAACTCTATATTGATAGACACCTTATACGATGTTCTAACAACAACATTTCTGGATATGCATGATGTCGTATTATGTGATATACTGTTGCCTTAGTTGTATTGTTATTATTTCATAAAAGTTTTTTTACAGTGGCAATCTATTAACAGAGACTAACTGGCACATTCCCTCCTACTGCTATTGGTGTCTTGTGTTATAATAATTCTACTATATATTTTTAAATTATGTAAAAATTTTAGTTATGTGTGAGAAATCCAAGAAATATTGTACATTATGTTTCTTTGATATCTAAAGCTTTGTATATTTCCTGAATGTAACCTGTACACCCTATGATATTATTGTTTTTGTTATAACTTGGCTTTTGTGCATATTCTCGCTTTTGGATTGTCAGGTTTCTTCTTGATATAAAATTATCTTTTCAGTAAGATCTTGGGATTGTAAGTCTTCGGTAATTAAAACTCCAGAAAAATTAAATATTTTAATTTACAGGTTTTTATCGAGACCTAGGAGTCGAACTTTAAATACCAACCAGAGTAAACCGTGTAACTTTAAACGTATTGTTACTGTGTATTTTCAAATGTCAACTGTTGATTTCATCAGGTCTCGCTTATAAACTTCGTAGCGGCGCTTTGTGGCGCCGGTGGCATTCAGGCGTTCAAAACGATGCGAACGCTTCGAGCCCTCCGACCGCTCAGGGCTATGAGCCGCATGCAGGGCATGAGGGTACGTACCTCTGCCGCGACTCTGCCTCTCTAACTTACCACCTCTCACTACACAGCTCGTTCAGATACAACACTCACAGTACAATTCATAATCATAGTACTCGTACATCAGTATAAATAAACGTAGAACATCCTAATTAAATCGACATCATTTTGCAATCATTGGATTTATTTTTACTTTTGAAATGTACAATTCATTGACCGTAGTCGAACATTGATTTCTTAGCGAATTATTTTGAAGCAGATTTTCGATGGCACCCTTGAATGGCTTAGTATCATCATGAGTCGTGGTTCTAAGTTGCGTCGTGTATCAGTCGTCCGATTTATCACAAGTATATTTCGGTTTACGTTTTCTCTTCGATTCTTTTAATACTTTATAGTACATGGAATGTATTTTAGATAATGCACCTTAGATTTAACAACTGTTCATGGAAATATCAATGGCAGAGCGTCCTGCGTGCATGCGGTAGTCTTAGTCTTTCAATTCGCCTATTTTTGGAAATCTTTTTTGACGGTAAGAGTGTTTAGTCATGCTTATGTTTCAATGTATAATGTACTATTGCTTGAGTATTTGTGCATGTAATGTATTCAGTGAAATAATAAAATGTATGTTTTGGTGATAACTTTTTGAACAATTAAAGATTTAAAAAATGATTTAAAGGTTTAAACTATTTTTAATGATAGCTAGATTTTGAATTAAAGTTCTGTTATATGATGTGATTAAATAAATTGAAAAAGTTTGCAACCAAGACTATCAAGGCATCAAGAAATTCACGATTCCCATAAAACTAAGCACATAATTTCATCAAGTATTCCATCTTCCGTAAGGGATTGTCCATTAATCACGTGATCTTTTTTTAGCATTTTTTAACCCCCCCGCCCCCATTAGTGATACGTCGTGAGGTTTAAGACACCCCCCCCCCCCCTTCTCAACATCACGTGTATTTTTAGTAGCTACAACGAATCTTAAAATTTTCTGAATATTATCTTAATTTAAATACAGGTATAAACTATAATCTTATATTATTCTGAAATTAAGGACCATAATAAAAATGTCTACACCAGGTTGCAAGTTTTTTTTAAATATTTGTTTAAAAATCGCGCGTTAGACGAAAAAATAAATACACGTGATATCTTACTACACCCCCCCTCCCCCTTGTGATATTTTCGTGATTTTTATCAAACCCCACCCCCCCCTTTCAAACCTCACGTGATTAATGGACAGCCCCTAAGCAGAAAGTCTTCTGTGCAAAATTTTTCTAAGTAACTTCAAATTTTAGGTGGTAGTGAACGCTCTGGTGCAAGCGATACCATCCATCTTCAACGTGCTGCTCGTGTGTCTCATATTCTGGCTTATTTTCGCTATAATGGGTGTACAGCTCTTCGCCGGGAAATATTTTAAGGTCTGATATATTTTTTTAATATTCTAGCAAGTTTTTTGACAAAATGTTATTTAAAATTTACACTAGAATATATGCAATGATAATAATCCTACAAAAGAGCAATATTCGATTCGATTCCTATATTTTCTAATTTTAATTTAAGTACCATCTAGTGTTGTTTGTAATATTTTTTAATAAACCTTTAATTGCAGTGTGTCGACATGAACCATACCACCTTAAGCCATGAAATAATACCAGATAGAAACGCGTGCATTTTAGAAAATTATACGTGGGAGAACTCACCGATGAATTTCGATCATGTTGGTAAAGCATATCTGTGTCTGTTTCAAGTCGCCACTTTCAAAGGTTGGATTCAGATTATGAACGACGCCATTGATTCACGAGAGGTACGAAAACAGTTGAATTTAGAATTTAATAACTTATAAATTTAATGAGATTTAATGATTGATCTTGTCTATTTAAATCTTCCAGGTAGACCGACAACCCATCAGAGAGACGAACATATACATGTATTTATATTTTGTATTTTTCATCATCTTCGGATCATTCTTCACTCTCAACCTATTCATTGGTGTGATCATCGATAACTTTAACGAACAGAAGAAGAAAGCTGGAGGAAGTCTTGAAATGTTCATGACTGAGGATCAGAAAAAGTATTACAACGCCATGAAGAAAATGGGCTCCAAGAAACCACTGAAGGCCATACCAAGACCAAGAGTGAGCTTACATTGTTATAATGTACATACGAAAAGTTAAGAAAGTAAAATTTGCTAAATTATTTTTTATTCTTTCAGTGGCGACCTCAAGCAATTGTATTTGAAATAGTAACTGATAAGAAATTTGACATGATTATCATGTTGTTCATTGGTCTCAATATGTTAACAATGACGCTAGACCACTATCAGCAATCAGATACGTTCAGTGCTGTCCTGGATTACCTTAACATGATATTCATAGTAATATTTAGTTCAGAGTGCCTGTTAAAAATTTTCGCCTTACGATACCATTACTTCGTGGAGCCTTGGAATTTGTTCGATTTTGTCGTTGTAATGTTTTCTATACTCAGTAAGTATTTTTAACACAGTGAACATAAATTCATGTTCGAAATTTATGTTGCAACTAATTGTCTTTTGTTTTAGGTTTGGTTTTGAGTGATATTATAGAGAAGTACTTTGTGTCGCCTACTCTATTGAGAGTAGTCAGAGTAGCAAAAGTTGGTCGAGTTCTTCGACTTGTGAAAGGAGCAAAGGGCATCCGAACACTATTGTTCGCCTTAGCCATGTCACTGCCAGCCCTCTTCAATATTTGTTTACTATTGTTTCTAGTGATGTTTATCTTCGCTATATTTGGAATGTCATTTTTCATGCATGTGAAGGACAAAGGAGGCCTCGACGACGTGTACAATTTTAAAACTTTTGTGCAGAGTATGATTTTGCTATTTCAGGTAAAAGCTTTTCTTTTTATACATCCAAGATATGTTTGATATGGGTGACTGGAACAGTATAATATTATCAAATAATCGTTTCTGTTTTAAAATATTCAATAAATATGTGTTTCCCCTTTAGATGTCAACCTCAGCCGGTTGGGACGGAGTTCTCGACGGCATCATAAATGAGGAAGAATGTGATCTGCCAGATAATGAGCGTGGTTACCCTGGTAACTGTGGATCCGCTACAATCGGGATCACTTACCTACTGTCCTACCTCGTAATATCTTTCCTCATTGTTATTAACATGTATATCGCTGTCATTCTCGAGAACTACTCTCAGGTATATATATTTCTTATATTCCATACAAGTATTTAAGAAAAGATTCAAAAACTTTTTTATTCCTCAGGCAACGGAAGATGTACAAGAAGGCCTAACTGACGACGACTATGACATGTACTACGAAATATGGCAGCGATTCGATCCCGAGGGTACGCAATATATCAGATACGATCAACTGTCCGATTTCTTGGATGTGCTCGAACCACCGTTGCAAATACACAAACCTAATAAGTACAAGATTATATCTATGGACATACCAATATGCCGCGGAGACATGATGTTCTGCGTGGACATCCTGGACGCCCTCACGAAGGATTTCTTCGCGAGGAAGGGCAACCCCATCGAGGAGTCGGTGGAGGTCGGCCGGCCGGACGAGGTGGGGTACGAACCCGTGTCGTCGACGTTGTGGCGACAGCGCGAGGAGTACTGCGCGCGGCTCATCCAGCACGCGTGGCGGCGGCACCGGCGAGCGCAGTCCCCGACGGGCGGCTCGGTGAGTGGGTCGTGCGCGGGCGAGGCGGAGGGCGCGCCCACGGCCGTGCTGCTGGACGCCGGCGGGGGCGCGGGCGGCGCGCACCGCGTGGTGCTGCAGGCGGCCGGCGCGGCGCCCCGGCCTCCCGAGCCCGCGCCGCCGCCCGCGCCCGTCTGACCCGCGCTGGCGCTCGCGCTGCTGCCCGCGCTGGTCGACGACGCGCCGCTGCCCCTGCCCGCACCGCTGCCCGAGCTCTTGAGCCCGCCCAAGCGCACTTGATTTTTTTACGCTGATTTCGAGTATATAGTGACAGCGGGCGAGCGACGCGACGCGGTCCGTCCCCCGCGGACTGTTGACCCGCGCGTGCGGAGACGCGAGCGTTCATCGGAGTGTTTTGTGTTCGCACTGTCGCAGCTTGCGAGACGATTTGTTTTGCGACCGATGATCGTGATTGTCGAGTTTAACTTTTTAGTGTTTTACTTTGTCGCGTCAATTCCGATCTCGAGGTGGACCCGTGTATCGGTCGGAAGGATTCGTATTAGCGAGCACGCAGTTTTGTTTCGTCACTAGTTTCGTAAGATATCGGATAAATTGAGGAAACATTAAATGCTTATTTTTGTATTCGACGATTGACACTCTTTCTGTGTAAATGTTCAAAGGCGAGTTGGCTAGATGTCTAAGATTGTCTACGTGTATATAAACTGAGCGATATCATTTCCCTTCCCCTAAATGATGTCGATCAGAAAAAATGCATGAGCGTTGGAGAACGACGCGGAGTGATGTTTGCTTGATAAAGTCCGCTTGACTCGGACGTCGAAGTGGCCGCTGCCGGTCCCCGCGGCCGCGGCCACTGGCGACGCCGCACTCGACTTATCACATTTCCAATATCTAGCATTTTAACATCAGTACATAATATCTATATGTATTCATTTAAATTGTCTAACGCGTTTGAACGCTAGCGTGATTGTATTTAATACCTAAGCGCTTAAAAAAGCAATGGCTACGCCGATTCATATCAATTATGTCCATGATAGTTTTTAATAGTTCCGATTAATATGCTTCTAACTGTAACAAAAATCGTAACGTCTTACCTTTCTGTGGAGGTCGGTCGTCGCGGAGTTTAAGGTTTAGAGAAATTTTGCATAGCTGTCTATGCTTAGCAAATCAGCAGTGAAATTGGTACCAGAGTTCACTTCCGTCCTAATTCAGAAAGCATCATAGGAATCGAGCCATTTTACGTAATGCGCACCTTTTCAAAGTTAATGTAATTTTCTTCCCCTGAATTACATTAGCCGCGGCGACGCTCGCGTCTTCCCTCGCGTGCGTCGCCCCATCTGAACCTGATCTTATACTGCCACCGGGCTGGCACTGCTTCTCTTATATAACTCTAGCACGTCATTTCTATCAATGTTGAATGCAATATTGTAACAATCTATCGCGCTGTAGGTGCAAACTTTTATTGTTAAACTGAACATGTGGAAGGATTTTGAATATCGAAAAGCCATGAAATTAGCCATAAGAGATATAATTAAATAACCTAAGAGATCGAACGTCCCTTACCGAGTAAGGTAGATATTATTGGAATATTTTTATTTTTCGATTGACATCTCTCTAATTAATGATGTTAGCGCAATCGTAAAGTTGTCGAGATACACCGTGCTAATCTTCGCGTCTAACAACTCTTGGTACTGCGACAACTCGATTGTTTTAATTACAGCTCTGCCAGTATTGTCATTTCTAGCACAATATGATACAAAACATACATTTTTGTAAATAACTTATGGAAGTGATAAATTTTTACTTCTTTATAAATATTCAGAGCTTATAGCCGGGAGATGCCCGAAGTAGCACGATGCAACACATGACTTATCGTGTTTCTATGGATATCAATGAGTCGCGCAGATAAGTAATAAAGCTTGAAGCAATGAAGTTAACGTGTGCTCCAGTTCCGCTTTTAATAAAAGATCATGTCACTGAATAGTTGTGTGTTGGTTGTTTTCAAATTCGTTTTTATAAAATGTGAAAAAAATTATGAATGTGCAAGACAATCTTAACGTTGCAAAGTTCTAAACGAGTCGGTGTTTTGTAAACTAAAATGACGCTTAACGTTTTGCACCTATTTTGCAATAATAAATTACGGTTACAGATAATAAATCCTTAGGTACCTACTTTTTATAAAAAGTTAAAACGAGCAGTGCATGAGCCAGCGAGTTTCCCCGTCGCTAGGTCACGCACCGCGTTCAAACAGCAGCCCTCGGTTACTTCAGAGTTCAGTCTCTAACGCTTCCGCCAGCCCAACTGGCAACGTAACGACCACGACACGACCGACACGAAAAGTCGTGATCTAGTTCAAAACAACGGGAGCGTAGCGTCAGGGAACGGTTCATACGAAACAAGAATCTGAGAAATCATCGATATTTCTATATAAATTATTAAAAAACGTTAGGTAAATTTAAATGAGGAAAATATTGATCGTAGTTCATTTATCAATGATACCTACCTATCTGCTTTTGTGACGTAGCTCCTAATGTTTCAGTAGATGGTTAGCGTAGACAATCTCGACCTATTATTTGTGTATGTTTCAAATACCGATTCTGTGTTCATCTGAACCGCTCCACGACGCTAGTATATACCATTATATTTTGTTATGTTACTGAATAAAAGTTATTGTTTTGGTAAAACCAAATATTTTATCTACTATTAGGCATATTGGCACAAAAAAGTTGTGTTTAATTAAGTTTAGACAATAAGTTACGATATCATTGTATTATTTCTTTAAATAAACTTATGACAAAAAGTGAGTTCAGTTTGCTGAATGATAGAGATTTAATTGAGTATTTATTATATATATTGTTGAAGTTTGTACAAAATAAATTAAGTAAACGATAAATATAGAACTTGACTGCTTTAATATATTTGTTTTATTTCACCTTACAATATTTTGATGTATAAAACGAGGAGCGGAGTTAAATAAAACTTCATTTACTATTTTTATTTTGGTTTTATTCATAGTATAAAGAGTTCTATGCATGTTTTATAAGATAATGTTGCATAAATTGTAAAATTGATATAATGCTGTCATCTTAACTAAACTAAATTATTAGTCTTTAGTCACTTGATAATTTATTTATAAAAAATCAGTGTTCAAATATTCTAGTATCAGGGCCTGTAAAATGATGAATCGAATTATTTAACAATCAATATGTTTTTCATTCATGGTTCATACATAAAATACGTCACACGTCAGTACCACGAAAATATGAAACGAATAAATTCACAACATACATGTAAAGTAATGGTGATGAAATTAAGTAAGTATTGTCAAAATAGTTCAAATTACGATAATCTCAGTATAAGAGAAAATTGCTTTTTGAATTAGTGAGTTGTAGACAACTATTTCCACATAGAACAAAAATATTATTAGGGCTTCTAGTGTGGGTCATTCTTTATAGCCATTCCATGTCATTATTTTTGTTTAAGAAATCCTTTAGGCATAATAGCTGAGCTGAAGGCAAATTATATTGCTTGTCACTGTCATCTATAAATTGACATATAGAAACCGAATAAGCCACATTCCTTCTACGGTTTCTTTGCTTGTGGATTGTAGAACTCAATCAGTTTTTAACAACTTGGTGATTTAAAATATCTTGATGCTAAAACAAATACAGTGTAAACTCTATATAACGACACTGAAAGGACCGTGCATTTTAGTGCGTTATAGAGAGTTGCCGTTAAATAGAATGAACAAAAATCAGAATTAGAAAAAGACAAAGATTATTTCAGACTAGTGTTAGTACTTATGTACATAAAAAAGAATGTTATTCGAACGCTATTGTGTATAGTCAGTTATTTTTGTTTGACGTCTTTTGCAGCACCAGTACTGTTGTTGTATTTTTTTAGTTATTTTATTCATATCTTGCGATATTGAGGCATCTTGTTGATAAAAGAAATAATTTTCCAGTAGACTAGCTGCTTCCAAAGCTTCTTTAATGCTCGGCGGAGGCTCAGGCTCATCTATCTCATCTTCTTCATTTCCTTGCTGTTGATCCTCAGTTTTTCTCACTGAATCTAAAATTTCTTTGTCTTTGAGTGAAGCCGTTGTAAAGAGGCAGTCATCTACTTCCATGTAGGTTTCCAAAACCGTCGACAGGTGTAAGCAATTTGTAATTGTAAACAAAAGAACGAATTTCTTAGAAAGTTCGGTATGCATGATAGGGACAGTAAACTCGTATTGCGGGCTAGAATAACAAAGCGACAAAGGAACGTACACAGCTGCACAGTTTTTACTAATTTTAGCAACTTAAAAGGTACTTTTTATTACTTAATTGTTGTCGTTATTGAGAGTGGTTGTGCCGCTATGTAGAGTGTAACATTGTATGGTAAACAAGCTAAACCAACCAAAGTCAAATGATTTCGACGCTTTATAGAGTTTGTCGTTAAATCGAGTGTCGTTATATAGAGTTTACACTGTATGTACATTGTACAAGTACAATCATATTCTTGTGGGCCACTTCAAGGAGCTTTAAGTCCTATCATAGGCACTCAAATCATTTTTCATTTATACATTTTCAAGTTATAACTCATATTTAAATGTTAGTGGCAAATTATTGTTTTTGTGTTTAATAATATTTATAAAAGTAACATTATCTATTATAGGCATAGTTTACGTTGTGTTTTTTTTTTGTTTTTTATGAACTCTCTGCACTCCTCTGAAAAGTATCGAGAATAGAAGGCCAATAAATGGAATTTTTCCATGGAATGCTCTTTTCATAAATGTCACTCTCACAATTCTGTTCTTGACAAAACGCTATAATGCGTTAGTACTAACGTCTTCAAACACTTATACACCTTAATTAATTTCTTTGCCAATATTAAAATGGCCGTACAGTGCCTTTAATAGAATCTTGAGAGCAATAGATCTAAAATACAGAAACTGATATTCCTTGTAGCTTTTCCAAACTGCGTTCATCCACATTTCAACAAGTTCAGGACACGAGAATCTTTTCTCCTTTCTTTTAAATATGTTTATCTTGAAATGGTTTTGCTTAGTATGTGAAGGAAAAATTATATTGCAAATAATCTCGTTTATAACAATTTCGAAGGAAGCATAATTTTTCTTTTACCAACTTTGTTTTTTTTTGTCTTTTTGCAAACTTTCCTTTCAAAATAAAATTAAAAAGTCGGCACGGTAATTGAAAATTGTAGAGTATTGTAATCGTACTACAAAATGTATCTAAATAAGGATTACCTACCTCTCAATTGAAGCTCTTCACTTATCCTCAGTTTTTGTGGATGGAATTTGTCAGTAAAGTTATTTATAGAGAATGTAAGCCCAAAGCCTTTTATTCAAAATAATATGCAGCGTTGTGGTCGGTATTCACATCCTAAACTTCTTTATCCTGTCTACAATTTAACTTTCAAATTCTCCAATACTTTAAGTATTGAATTTTCACATGCATATATAAAATTCTTGTTAGAATTATGTGTATATTTATTTCAACAATATAAATTAATTGAATCAACTGATTTTCATCTTTACTTTTTTCACACACATGTAAACGAAGTCCGATAAAACGGTTAAAAATAAGAATTTAAAATCGTGTGACGTATTTTAAGAATGATATTTAAGTCCAAATGACAATACAAGTTCAAATCTAAACGAAAATTTACTTGAAAATGCCATATAAAACAAATGTATGAAATATTATAATTTTTTATTTTGCTATTTATTTACTTTATTACCAAAATTTATTTATAACTTTTTTTTTCAGTTTGAATAAAACTACTAAAAGCTAATTAATTAATACTCCTAAGATTACTTCTCAACGGTGTTGCCAGATTTAATGAAACTACGAATAAACTGTTTATATGGCTACAAATTTCATAATCAATAAATAAATAGCGTACACAAACCTAAGAAATGTCCCAATCTTAACTAGATCTTGTGGGAGAAGGCGCCAATGCATCCCTGCGATAAATATTTATTTTGAGTATCATAATTATTAATATTAACTTTTGTATTTCTTGGCTTGGTTTGTTCTCTACTAAGGGATTTATTCTAAGACTGCATCATATTATTTATAGGATTACAATGTCAGAAGTGGGATTATATGTATAGAAATAAGAAATCAATATTGGATGTTACTATTTTTATTTCCGTCTTAATTAAGACAAACGTGTCCTCATAATGACACAAATACAAGATGACTGTCATTATAATAATTTATACAGCATCTATATGTACAATGTATGTCTGTACGTCCTCCGTTCACAACGTATATAGGAAACTGTACGGTGTAACAGAGGACCGGTACAGCCAACACAGCGCCCACTATGTGGACGTGAAAGCCTCGCACGATACAAGACTGATCGTACTTAAAACTCCAAGGCAGATATGTAGTGCTATAATAAACAAGCGTACAGCATTCACATAAATAACGCTATTATTTTTCCTTTAATAAACAAAAATATATATATAAAACAATCATTTAGTTGTTATGAAATATAAACTGCGAGTGATGTTAGACGGAAAGAAATTATATTATTCGGGCCTTAGAGGCGACAAAGACGATGATCACAGAATAAAAAACACTATATCGTCAACTAGCTTACTTTAAGACAGTATTCTAATAACAAAAATACGTTTTTTTTTTGGTAAAAAATATTCTTTTCTCTTAACAGATATTGTGCCACTATTTGATTTAAAAGATTGTATCAAAACAATCAAGCTGACTCAATGTAAGAGGAATAGGTCACTTTGATAGATTTCACTAATAACAAATCAATATTGACAACACTAACACTTCAGGATGCAACGGATGTCAGGGTCTGATATATGTATTGTACAAATCTTATATTATGTTTTTTTTTTTATTTTTTCTATATAAAGGAGATCCAACCTTTGTAATTAAAATAATTTCAATAATCTATTTTACTTTATCTAATCTGAAATTAAGGATCAGTGTATTTTTTAACTATTCACAAAGAAAGCTCAATGTCCAGTTATATTCGTACAATGTCATGAATTATAAAGCAAAATTAAATACAACTAAAGATTCGACACACAACTAAAATGTTATTAAAATATAGGAAACTAACTCAGATTGACCGTTCCATGCCATTTAAAATCTTACCACCGAAATACTAATATATTTAATTACATTTAATCTCAAAACACCAATAAAAGTGTAATATTAGGCACCAAATAACGAATTTTTTTACAAAGTAAGCCGACTCCAGCTAACAGCAACGAAGCCAAAACGTGTCACTGACTCAAACAAATCATATAAAATCTATAACCGTAGTATTAAATCATGAAATTGTCAATCCAGAGTAGACATCTAACATTTGACTAAAATTACCAAAAATGTTATACAATATACTGTATACTAGTAATATTACATGTTTATGAGATCTTTATCTACTACAGACGTGTACTTCAAACAAATTAAAATACTGTTACACTCGATGAATATTTCAAAATGATAAACAAAATTCTATACTCCGTTAGTCGGATATTATGTACAGATGTTCTATTGGCGTGAGGTGTTGGTGCGAGAGAGACAGATATATCTGTTTAATGTGTGTTAGACAAGGATGGGTTTACTCTGTGTAGTCCCACCACTCCTTCTCGTAACCTTCGTGGACGTGCTCCAGGAGTACCTTCCGCCGGCTGTCGCAATATCTGGAACAAAATAATCATATAAAACATGAGTTTAATTAAAAAACAGTACTATAATAGCTTCATAATAATCAGTTGAGGCAACTCTCTTCAACAAACATTTATCACAGACTTTGCTAATACTTTCCCCTGCTAAGACGATGTACAGAGCAATCAAAAGAAGGTCTTATTTAACAATTTTGGCAACTGATTCGATAAAAATTTATTAGGAATTTTGGAAAGAAAATAGCAAGAAAATCATCTTAAACCCAAGTCTTTTGCCATTTTAACGTAGTTCTGCAAATCCTGTATAGATTGCAGCGATTTCATATCTACATATATTATTTAAATTTGTTATTAATGGCTTGAAACTATTTTTTTTTTCTATATGCTTCAGCTATTTATTTTTATATACCTCTTACTAAGTAACCAGAAATTCACTCACTTTTCTAGTCCTACAAAAACTTATATAATAAAATAAAGCTGTTTAAATAAGTCAGTGGTGGCCTAATGGTTAGAGGGCCCGCCTCTCGTTGCCGAGAGTGCGGATTCGATCCTGGCCCGGGTAAGTACCAATGTGATTTTTCCGAGTCATATGTACTCTCTATGAATATTTAGACATCACTGATTAATGCTGATTCCCAAAAGAGGGTTGATGTCAGGCAGGCGAGCCGGTCGTAAAAAACAATTAGCCAAAACTATTGACAACAAGTAAGGCAGACCCTGGCTATAGCCGGGAAATTGCCAGGTAGAAGAAGAAAATAAACCTGTTTAAATTATGTAACATGGAGGGCCCAAAAACTATCATCTATATAAAACTATCCCAGGTGGCTTCTCCACAATAAATTCGGCAATGCATCTACAACAGCCCTTATTGGGTAATAGTGACTTGCCCCTATGGGTCATACAAAAAAACTCCTTCACCTGTACTTATCCTGCACTTTCTGCTTGATGTCAGCTAAATTCTCACTAGTGATGTCCCTCTCCAGGTATTCCGATAGAGTTTCAGTGGCCGACTCCAGGTCGCGTTGGTTGTCTTCAAAGATGACAGACTGATTGGTCTTCTTCAGGTAATACGCGAACACGTACGTGTACATGAGGGTTTGACGGCACTGACATAAGATGTCCACGGCTCGCTTAAGGAATTGTACCTGCAAGAACCACTTACTTACAGATCAATAGAACTAGATTTATGCAAGAAAAGAAATGCTAAGATTTTTGTCAACCAATATAAAATTTAGTTAAATTATCGGTATTTTCACTTGAAATCGTTGTTAAGTTAAGGTAGTCATGGGTGTAAACAAGTCTTTTAGAGTTCTTTACAAGAATAAACAGGATTTTAAATGAATTTCCTAAATATATTTGAATCATCCAACCTCAATCCAACTCATATTATGCTGTTGCATCTCTTCCATCTTTTCCTTAACGGATGCGTACAGTTTGGATTCGAAGCGCAGCGACTGCATGTGGTTCATATAGCGGTTGCAGTAGAAGAGATAGCGCTGCAGCGCTGCACGCGAGCGCTCCTGAGAGTCGCGGGCCGCTTTGGCCTCGTCCACGTCGTACCTACGAATTATTCAGTGATACTAACAGGTCTGATACTAACAGCTGCCATAGAACCATATGATAATTGATTAATGGAAACTCTTCAGGCCTAGGTAACTTATGAATGAACTTAGTACAACAAGTCGTATTGTTATTAACATTGGCAAGGGATATATATATCCATTGAATTAATAATAATTCAATCTCCGAAATACAAAGCCTATCGACGCTTTTTCACAGGTTCTGTGGCAACAAATATATATATGAATGAAAATAAATAAAACAACTATCTAAAACGACTAGACTACGACACAAAGAACCAAAAATAGTTACGATACTGTAATCAAAAATAAAAGACAGGAAAGACAAAAGAAAAAACGAAAAAAAAGAGGTCATTGGAAGAAGATAATTCCAAAGCCTCGACGATTATATTCAAATCGTGTGTCGACTGGATGTAGAGCATCCGAAGACTTAGATTCGACACTATAACACGACACTCGACACTCGAATCTCAACACTCGACACTCGACACCCGACACCTGACACATCAACTAAGTACCACGATACTTGCATATCATGGAGATATTGTCTCAGTGAATATCTCTCTGACCTACGGCACATGGAAAAAACAGCTTATCATGATATATACAAATGTTCAGTTCATACAACGATGGCTCCTATGTATAAGGGGGCCGTTCAAGTATTACGTAAGCACTATGGAGGGGCAGGGGGGTCTTTGCTTTGATTATTTTGCATGACATGGGGGGTAGGGGAGTCTAGATGACATTACGTCATCGGTAGTTATTTACTTTTTAATCGTCACAACAAGAAGATCCATAAAAGAAACATAATTATAATATTTTTCTGGATTTATATGAAAAAAAAACCATACAAGACAAGGGGGATGGGGGGTAAATAATTGTAATAAATCTGCTTACGTAATACTTGAACGGCCCCAAGGGCTAATGTGCAAAATGACAATTGTTCAGTAGAGGCATTTATATTTGATTTTTTGCATAACAACTATGACATACTTGTATATTAAACTTATGCTTTTTTACTGCAATAAAAACTAATCTTTTCCAGCAACAAATACACATTTTTTTTAATGGATGTTGTAAAATACAGTATTATGAAGTGTTTAAGGGGTCGTTCAAGTATTACGTAAGCACTATGGAGGGGCGGGGGGTCTTTGCTTTGATTATTTTGGATGACATGGGGGGTAGGGGAGTCTAGATGATCATTACGTCATCGGTAGTTATTTATTTTTTAATCGTCACATCGAGAAGATCCATAAAATAACATAATTATAATATTTTTCTGGATTTATATGAAAAAAAAAACCGTACAGTAATTGAAAATGTTTACGTAATCATGGGGGGAGAGGGTAAGAGCTTTGCTTACTTTTGCTGACAACGGGGATGGGGGGGTAAATAATTGTAATAAATCTGCTTACGTAATACTTGAACGGTCCCTAAAGCATAAAAATGTCTAAATCGCTACATTGCTCCTTATACATAGGAGCCATCGACTTCATCATGGGTTTATACCAACCGGTTGCAGTTGTACCAGCTGCTGCCGTGAGGTTCCCAGGGTCCGAGACAAACCCAGCAAAAGTCCGCCTTACAGTTCTGATTCTTACACACCATGTGGTTACAACCTCCATCTTTCTCTATGGTCACATTACATTTAGGACACTCCTTAGTATTGGCCGCTATCCAGTTTGATGTTTCCGAATCATCATCGCATTTCTAAAAAAAAATATCTATTTAGTTTCATATATGCATATTAAAGTAATTTATAGGTTGTATCAAATCGCATTGCGAGTCAGTAGTCTTCGTTCATAGCGTCAAAGAAATTATATATACCCACGTTTCTTTCCTCAGTTTATGCATCGCTGAAGCTATATAAAATAACATTATCTACAAAATACTTGCTGTAATGTCATTAATAAGCAATTAAATATAAAATATATTTAGCTAATGACAATGATAACATAGGACACATTGAAATTTGTAAATTAGACAACTTTAAGTAGCAAAGGTGTTAATGGTAGAACCTTCACACAAGATATTGCAGATCTTTTAAAAAGTATACAATTTGTTGAATGGTAAGACTTCATATGTCAGTCTTAAACTTACACTCCACTAATGAAACCATTATCATATATAAAAATATTTTTCTTTCATAGAATTACTCATTATAGCTATTAGTCTAAGATCCCGATATAAGGCGACCTTCACCGAGATGTTTATTTGATGAAACATATTTTATATTCAATTTAATTTGTCAATAACTATTAGGGTGGAGCGAAAATTTTTTTTTCACATTTCGTAATTCTAAGTAGCAAAAGTTTATGCTTTATACGCTCAAACATGCACCAGTAAAATATTATTTAAAAAAAAAGAGTATAAGTACCTCCGAAAGGTCATTAAACTTTTATAAAAAGTGGATTTTAGACAGGAGTTGATGTAATTATATTTACATTACATCTTGATATATTTTATCTCTTTATTATCTTAATATATTGCTAATATACTCTTTTATAATAATAAAATATAAAAACAACGTACAATAATAACAACACGGAAAGGGAGCGGTGCCAATCAGTTACTTACTACGCGGGTAGACTAAAGTTAGTTCACCTCGTAAGACACTATTGTCTTTCGAGGTGAACTAACCTAAAAATATTATTTGTTAATAAACATGGAAAAAACACGCAGTGCTTCTAAATGCCCAATATTTGGTGAATGTTGTGAGTTAAAGAAAAACGTGTTACCAACTTACGAAGATGTTGTCAAACATTACGAATGGACGCGGCACATTATAAAGATAAGCAAAAAAGAGCCCAAATTTTCAGAAATTGCTGATAAAATCGTACCAGAAATCGAAAGTATATGGCAAGTGGCATCTTTTCCAATAGTTACCGGTACCAGGATTGTTCAGATGTTAAAAGCGTATCACGAGAAACGAAAAAATCTTTTGAAGTCGATAGCAAAAAATGCCCAGCAAACGATGGAAAGTTTTATACAAAATAAAAAGTAACTTTTTGATATATCGGCTTGCAAATGTAAGGATTTTAACTATTGCACCTGTCCTAGAGAAAAAAAGGTCACAAAACGGGAACAAGCCTTTTTAATTGATCAAAGGACGGCTCGTAAAATGATAATTGGCGGAGTTGATGTTGTCACTACCAAAAGAAATCTAATAAATCAGGAACGGAAGTTAAAACGTAAACTTTGCTCCAATAACTCTTCTAGTGTAAGTACGTTGCCTTTTAATTTAGACGTCAGCACCTCTTCACTTTCTTCCAATAGCGATGAGCTTACAATAAACGAATCATCTGCCTGCAATACTAAATATGTCATTCCTGTAAAGAAAAGGAAAAAAGTGTCGTGCATTAATTTACCTACTGTATCAAAAACATGTGATAGATACGGAGTATCTGACAGGGCTGCTGCTGCGAATGTGTCATCAGTATTACATGACATTGGGTCCGAGGTAGAAGTTTTAGACAGAAGTAAGTTACGAAGAGAAAGAAACAAGACCAGACAGGAGTTAGTGAAACAGGTAGACCTCAGAGATATTTCTGCACTATACTTTGATGGTAGAAAGGACAGAACTTTGAAAATTATAAAAAAAGGAAAAAGAAATTACAGAAAGGTCATAGTTGAGGAACATATTTCACTTATTCAGGAGCCAGAATCCATTTATCTTGATTACCTAGTACCGCAAGTTGGAACGGCAAAAGGAATTGTATCTTTTCTGGCTGCCCGGCATATTTTAAAGGCTCGTAGCAGTACCGTACATGGTCTAAGGCTTTTTGATGTCCAAAAAATAAATTTTAAAGCTTCTAACTATGTCGACACGATAGACTAGCAAAAAGAGATAACTGAACCACCACTTCTTAAAACGTTGTCAACACAGACAATATTAAATATTGTTTTTCAGTCTGGTGGTGAGAATCAGATAACATTTTTGCGTCTTCCGTGTCATACGCAGGCAGTTGAACGAGCCGTGAAGGTTACAACAGAAGCAGCTATTTCGCAATGTACTAAAAAATCGCGACTAGGTGCCATAAGGGCTAAATTGGAATCAAGAGACAAAATGCCTAAATTTGATACAAAACATCATTTTAAGCCAAATTAAAGGTGTTTCAAAATGTATGTTTTTAATGTAACTTTATTTTTTTTGCATTCATTACATTACTACTTGTGTGATCATTACATTGTGTATTTGTTTTCGCCTATTTACCTTTAATTTCTACTAAATATAGATATGAGAAAAAGAGTAGTATTTTCAAGAATTTCAAAATTTTAAATGCGGTTTCGGAGGTAGAAAACAATTTTCAATTCTTATGAAAATTTGCATACTTTTATGTTTTTACATATGGCATAAATCCCTTACACTTAGAAACCTAAATATAAAAAAAAAATTTTCGCCATACATTTGTGCTCCACCCTAATAACTATATTACATATGGGTTGCCTCATAAATTTTAGTCCAGGATATGATTAATTAACAATTAAAAATAGATTTTTTTTCAAATATTTCACCGGTTTGTTTATTAGATAAATTACACACCAATCGAAAGTACGGAGCCCATAGAATATTAAAACGTTAGGTTGCCTATTCTTTTCCAGTCACAACTCTCGGGTTGCCAGGGATAAACAGGTACATCGATAGTAGCATTTTGCACCGGTCTGTTAATTTAATCAAATTTAAATGAAAATAAAGATTATTTAATTATGAACACGGTGAAATAGGGTTGCCTGCGAAAAATCGGTCCTAAATTAAGGTTGTCGAATTTTAAAAAGTAAAATATTGCCGCGAGTGAATATGTACGACTGAGAGGTCCCAAGCAACTGTTCCGTGCGTTAGAAGAGGACAGAGCATAACAGCTGCGTAAGGTGTTCCCATTTAAAGAATTTTCATTTTTTTTCATTTTTTTCGAATAAAAAAAATTACTCTAAATTAGTATTACATATGTATTGTTATAACCTTCTTATTTACTATATATGTATATATATACAGGGTGATTGGTGAATTACTATCGATATTTGAGGACGTGATATTTGACGATCATATATGACAAAATAAAAATTAATATAACATAAATATTAATAAACTTCTAAGTAAAGTTAACCAAAAGTTATGTAATTAATTACTAGTAGGAGAGCTGGCAACAATTTTTGGGTAGGTATTTGAGGCAAGCTGAAAACTTGTCCTATACCTCTCCTATTATACCCCAATACGAAACTGCAGACCTGGCTGGTGAGTAGCGGGGCTAACTCAACCCCTAAATTTTTAAAAATATTATTTTTTAATTTCGAAAAATGTATTTGAGGCAATATGCAATTTTTATATGTTGTAGTTTAATATTTAAAGAATAAAAAAAAATATAAGCCAGATGATTTAGACGGGATTTAAAAATTGCCAGACGCGTGCAAAAACATTTTGAAAAAAAATACAAAAAATGTATTTGAGGCAACTTGAAATTTTAACAGGATATTATTTATTATTAAAAAATAAGATCCTCAAAAAGACAGGTCATTTCTGTGGGTCTTTCTACCTGCCAGGTGAAAAATAAAAAATATTCAATTATGTATAAATTTTAAATTATATATGCTAAAAAAATATGACACAATAAATATATGCAACCAGACTAACTTTGTTCGATGGGCAGGAGGTAATTCACGTGAATATGGACTGGAATGCGGGGTGAGGCAGGGGGGATTGAGTTCACCCACGCTTTTTAATATATATGTAAACGATCTGATTGGCGAGCTCAGTGGCACCAGAGTCGGTTGTCACATAGACAGAATTTGTGTTAATAACATCAGTTACGCAGACGACATGGTGCTGCTGAGTGCGTCAATCTGTGGAATTAGAAAATTACTGAGCACTTGTGAAGAATACGCGCAAAACCATGGGTTGCAGTACAATTGTAAAAAATCAGAGATTATGGTATTTGAGACTAGGGGTAAGAAAATGGAAAGCATACCTCCGGTAAAAATAAACGGAGTACCATTAAAGCGAGTCGCAACTTTCAAATATCTCGGTCATGTCCTAACTCCTAGTCTCAGTGACGACTCTGATATTGAACGCGAAAGGAGAGCGTTGTCGATAAGGGCGAATATGTTGGTTCGCAAGTTTGCGCTGTGCTCAATGAACGTGAAAATCGCTCTCTTTCAAGCCTATTGTACCAACTTTTACACGTGCGGCTTGTGGGCCAAATATACGCAAAAGTCGTACAACGCTCTTAGGGTTCAATATAACAACGCGTTCCGGGCGCTGGTGGGGCTGCCTCGTTACTGCAGCGCATCAGGGATGTTCGCAGACGCTAAAGTGAATTGTTTCTTTACGACTATGCGAAAGAGATGCGCGTCCTTGGTGTGCAGGGTGCGGAGTAGCCCCAATAGCATTTTAAGAATGATTGCTGATCGGTTGGACTGTATATACGTGAATCGCTGCGGGGCCATATCTCACGGGATGGTACAGTGGTGATTCGCGTATGTGGGGCTCAACCGATCAACTAACTAATTTACATATGATTTAATTAATTATTATTATTATTATTATTATTATTATTATTATTATTATTATTATTATTATTATTATTATTATTATTATTATTATTATTATTATTATATTGAGAACTTATGTATTGTTATTTTTGTTGACATTTTTATGTATTATTATTAATAATTTTGTGAATGAGTCATTGTTGCTTGATGGTATAAATAAATAAATAAAAAAAATATCCATTTAACACACATAAATCAACACAATCATTTTTATATAAACCGTTTTTAGCAGAAATTCATAAAATTTTATATTTTTTACTCCAAAATTCCGATTGAAAACCTCGTGGCTATTATATGTCACGTGACCTCGTCAGAGCCAATAGTAACGCGGCAAGCAAGGACGCAGACAGCTGCCGATATACGCTCTCCCTCACGCTACAGCTTGTCTATAGCGCTACGCACTCACACTTATATATAAGTTGTTGGATCACCTGGCAGGTAGAAAGACCCACAGAAATGACCTGTCTTTTTGAGGATCTTATTTTTTAATAATAAATAATATCCTGTTAAAATTTCAAGTTGCCTCAAATACATTTTTTGTATTTTTTTTCAAAATGTTTTTGCACGCGTCTGGCAATTTTAAAATCCCGACTAAATCATCTGGCTTATATTTTTTTTTATTCTTTAAATATTAAACGACAACATATAAAAATTGCATATTGCCTCAAATACATTTTTCGAAATTAAAAAATAATATTTTTAAAAATTTAGGGGTTGAGTTAGCCCCGCTACTCACCAGCCAGGTCTGCAGTTTCGTATTGGGGTATAATAGGAGAGGTATAGGACAAGTTTTCAGCTTGCCTCAAATACCTACCCAAAAATTGTTGCCAGCTCTCGGACTATACGCATCGTGTGAACACCCTACAGATTAGGTATACACACACACTCGCGCGCGGCGGCGTGTTGTTGTATCAGCACGCCGCCGCACGCGTCTATACTTGGAACACTTGGAACGTGTACACACTTTATTTATTTATACGGAAATTTGGTCAAAAATTAAGTACCTATTTTTTTTACATAATTCGAATGAGAATCATGTACCGAGTATGCTCCTTAAATATTGATAGTAATTCACCAGTCACCCTGTATATATATATATATATACTTTAATGTCACATTAAATATATACACATAAATAATTAATTAAATTAATATTAAAGAACTATTCTTCTATTTTTAATATAATAATAATACATTACTCCAAAATGATACACAGCATATACACGTCTATCGCTATCCTTGTCAGTTGCACTGACAAATAGCATACACACACTCTTTCCTTAAAAGGGAAGACCTTACGCAACTGTTATGCTCTGTCCTCTTCTAACGCACGGAACAGTTGCTTGGGACCTCTCAGTCGTACATATTCACTCGCGGCAATATTTTACGTTTTAAAATTCGACAACCCTAATTTAGGACCGATTTTTCGCAGGCAACCCTATTTCACCGTGTTCATAATTAAATAATCTTTATTTTCATTTAAATTTGATTAAATTAACAGACCGGTGCAAAATGCTATTATCGATGTACCTGTTTATCCCTGGCAACCCGAGAGTTGTGACTGGAAAAGAATAGGCAACCTAACGTTTTCATATTCTATGGGCTCCGTACTTTCGATTGGTGTGGAATTTATCTAATAAACAAACCGGTGAAATATTTGAAAAAAAATCTATTTTTAATTGTTAATTAATCATATCCTGGACTAAAATTTATGAGGCAACCCATATGTAATATAGTTATTGACATATTAAATTGAATATAAAATATGTTTCATCAAATAAACATCTCGGTGAAGGTCGCTTATATCGGGATCCTCTACTATATAATACAATACATAAATTTAAATTAAATCACCTGTCATTAGTATTTCCAGAAACAAAAATGTATTAAAATGTTTAATATTTGACAACGCACTAAGAACTATAGGTTCACTGTAATATAATAACCACACACAAGAAATGTTATTATTATAGTACAATCCCTCCCAAAATACCTTGATCCACTTCCTCAGCAGACTGCAGCGCACTGGGTCGTGCCAGTTCTCACCGCAGGCGAAACAGAATGTATGACCACACCGACAAGTCACTGCTGCTGGCTCTCCATATGCTACTTTAATGGCATTGCTGCAGTCGGGAGATGGACACCAACGGAGCAGGCGGTTACACTGAGAAAGTAAAAGGGGTTGAGACAAAATGAGAATACTAACTAACCTGTTTTATAACGTATTTCAAACAAAATATATGAATATAAGAATTTCTCGAGGTCATGATATTATTATTAATCTTTTCACATTAGTATGCTATGTCACATATTCCTTAAAAACCCGAATAATAATAACTACAACTCGAATTTATGCGTCGATATCGATTATATTCATTAATCTTTATAATATGTGGTAAATTTCAAATTTAATTTACATACAGACATAAACATGGAATAATGACCAGATTTAAGTAATTAAAAGTATGTTTGGAACGAGTGCCTTTAAAATATTCAATACTAGCTTTCCGCCCGCAGCTTCGCCCACTCGGAGTTCGGTTGTATCGTGTTTCCAAGAGAACCTTTCAAAAGTCTGGGATAAAAACTATCCTATGTTCTTTCTCACAGTCAACTCTATCTCTGTACCAAATTCCATTAAAATCAGTTCAGTGGTTTAGGCGTGAAAGCGTAACAGACAGACAGACAGAGTTACTTTCGCATTTATAATATTAGTAGGGATATATATGTATAAAAATACGCTTTCGTTAATAAAATTCTATAGAATACACCTCTACGAAGCTGTTGGTGATGATGTGCTGATATTTGAGTTTGACCCTCGGGTCCCTCACGAGTCGCATCACAGTCGCATCGTCCACGAGAATGTCGCACGCGTGAGCCGCACATGCTATCGTCTGGCCCTAAACATTAATATGGTGATATAAAAACAATACAATAAACAATATAATACATACCTATATACATGTATATGTATATATATGTAACTGGAAGAAATTTTTTACCACCATACAGCTAATAAATGCAAGCAGTATATGCATAAATTCTTTTTACATAGTAAATAATATATGATATATAATATATAATAATATGATGATACTTTTACTTATCAGATGAAACACACGTTTAATAAACGGTAATAGAAATTTAATCTAAATATTATTATAGACATTAAAAAAATATTAGTGAAGTTCCAATATAATTTTAAGAAATGCTAGAAATAATATGGGAAAGTCATTAATAACGAAATATTATATAAAATGTACAGTTTATATTTGAGTGTGAGTACAAATGACAATTAAAATTTTAATTTTGTAACTAACCACTTTTAATTGTTAAAAAACATATAAAGCAATTTCTTTATTATGTATGTTTTAACAATGTTTATTTAAAAAAAATTGTAGCTTAAGTTGATATTAATGAAAAGTATCTTTTAATTAAATATAAAAGATAAAATAATACAAATATAACATACCAAGCCTTCTTCCATTATTTTCGTTGTTAAATATTCACACCAACACTGTGTACAGAATCTGTGTCCACATTCCAGACCGGTCATAATCTATTGAAAAATAATACACATCAATTATAATGGGCTGCATTTAGTTCAAATTTTAAAATCGCTTAATAAATATTAAGGGAACAATATATATGTACAATGGTAATTACAGCAAATAAGTCACATAATATTAGGGCTGTGCAAAATTAAAATAGTTAACATAAAATAAATATTAAAACATTCTAATGACTAACTAATAGTTGAGCAAATTAAACATACTCATGGAAAATTTTCATTGAGAAATTACAAATATTTGCTATATTATAATTATTACCTATCACCCAAAGAAATATATATTTACATATACTGGGTTACATCCACTGGAGAAACAAGTGATAAAATTTGATTAATAATAAACAAAATAATATTTAAATAACTTACAGATGTTGGTAAAATTGAGAAACATATTTCACATTCTTCCGATCCTGATGTTGATATCCGTCTGGGCAACTGAAATGAATCATTATTTAAACTTATATCCCTAATTTTTCTACTTATTATACTAATATTTCTTATTTACACATATTTATGTTTATATGTGATTGACAATTTTAGATATAACTATACATATTATATGTTAAACACCTTTGGTCGTTGTATTACAGGTTTTCTAAATGGATTAATAACTCTAGCCTCAGCGAATAATTGATCCTGATCACCGTCATAAAATCTTTCCATTAGCTTTTCTTTGTCCCATTTGAAATGATTGAGGAGGATGCGGGTTGTGGTGGCTGGTATCTAAAAAAATATAAATATATTAATTATATAATTATTTGGTCAAAATTTTATGTTCTTAAACAATCTGCAGCTAAATTTTAATGTTTTAAAACTAGAAATAAATTTTTATATCAAAAATTTATGTTTTTATGAGTGTTTAATAAAATCAACAAGTACAATATATACAGGGTGACTGGTGAATCACTATCGATATTTGAGAACGTGATATTTGACGATCATATATGACAAAATAAAAATTAATATAACATAAATATTAATAAACTTCAAAGTAAAGTTAACCAAAAGTTATGTAATTAATTACGCATCGTGTGAACACCCTACAGATTAGGTATACACTCACACTCACACATACGCGTGTCGCGACGTGGTGTTGTATCAGCACGCGTCCACACTTGAACACTTGGAACGTGTCAACACTTTACTTATTTATACGGAAATTTTGTCAAAAATTAAGTGCCTATTTTTTTTACATAATTCGAATGAGAATCATGTACCGAGTGTTCTCCTTAAATATTGATAGTAATTCACCAGTCACCCTGTATATTTATAAACAAAACTGTTCAAGTTAGGTGTATAAGTTACATTTGTATTAAAATTAACAGTGATTGACAAAACAAAGGAATATAAAAAAAAACTTCCACAAACAAATGATCTGTTATCATTTAATATAAGTGATAAGATTCAAACAGAAACAGACAAACAGTAACAAATAAAATATCTAATTTATTGTATGTCATTATAATTATTTTATATTGAATTAATATAAAATTTAAACATACAACATTCTATTTATATTGAACTGAATATATTTATATAGAAAAAATATTCTTTTCATTTTCTTGTAATTCAATAACAACAGTTTCAAAACATATCATCAAGAAATCAATTTATATCTTTGTTTATGTCATGACCTAATTAGAAAATACATGTATGGGAAAACCTTTTGTTACACATGGATGATAAAAATGTTACTTTAATGAGATCATTGATTAAAAAAATAGGAAATATACAACAATGACTCATTTACTGCTTTTGTTTGAAATTATAAAGAAATAGTTAATTTCTTGGTATGTGTTAGACATCTTGGAAACAAAAGGATAAGTTTAAAGCTAATACTGGAACGGAACAACATGTTAGTAATTAAAAGTAACATAGTAAACCAGCGTACGAGTAACCTCATTAAGAAAGTCATTGTTTACCATTAACATACTGACCTCAACTACTGTATTCACTTCTTTTATGCAATCTACCATATGTTGAACGATTTCCTCTGTAGATAACACCTCGTATGGATATTCCTCGAGTTCCGTTTGTCGTTCCCTTGTACTGTGAGTCTCGTCCATGACAAAGTCGACATCGTCTCCGCTGGACTCATTACCAGAATCGACATCGTCTTTTGTGTCATCTTCAGAGTCCATCGTGGGAATCGAATAATTATTTGTTGTATGTCAACTGTACAGCCAGAATACTTCTAATGATGAAATAATTACACCTAAGATTTAGGAAAGGTCAACAATGAAGAAAATAGTTCACCCACGGGCTGCCAAAACCTCTGACGTATTTGAAGGCAATGTCTATGACATTACTCTTACATTTTTAGTCTATGATTTCAAAGAAGCTATTTTCATAGATTAAAATTAATGTTTTGAATAACTATAAAGTCAAATTAAAAAAGTTATTTTGAAGAATATAAAACAAGTACATTGGGCTTAGTTAAATAAAACATAGAAATATGTTATGTTTTAAATCCAAATCCCAAATCAGTCGAATTCAGCAGCTTTTGAGTTAGACAAATATGGATGTTAAAACAAAATCAAATTAGTTGCTTCTAAATTTTTGGCTTATTATTATTCTATGTCATAAACTAAATTAGTGTTAAGTCCTAATTAATACATTTAGTGATTTAACGAAAAAAAAACTATAACAAATTATTGATTTTTTCAGAATTGAAATAAACATAAGAAGCTAGGGACAGTTTTATTTGTTAAGCAAATATTTGTCCTGTAGTTAAAAAATATTATTAATGGACTCATCTAATTACAACTCCCTGCAATAAAACATATTATTCTAATATTGTCAAGAAACTCAAAAGTCGTCAACGGATTTTGAATTTTGAAAGTTTTAATCTACTATAAAGTTCCATCGATACTTCATTTTAAGCATTTTGTCGTTTATCTATTATCTTCTATCTTCTATATATATAAAAATGGATTGCTGTTCCTTAGTCTCGCTAAAACTCGAGAACAGCTGAACGGATTTATCTTATCTTAGTCTTGAAATGTTCGTGGAGGTTCAGGGAAGGTATAAAAGCTGAAAAAAATTGATTCATTACTGGGAAAACCATAAAAACAGCCCTTTTCTATTTCCCATACAAACGTTTTTTTGACATTAGATTTGACAACTAACTAATATGTCAATTATTCTGTCGCACTTCAAAACACAGAGATTTATGGCTTACAGGTGAACTCCAAAAAAATAAATAAAAAACGTAATAGATATTTCTTGATTATAGGGGATACGAATTTCGCCAGGTCTTCTAGTGACAAATAAAATTTAATGTTTTTGTTGATTCTAATCACAAATGAAAATTTATACGATATATCTACATTGATATATTAATACTGCAATTTTTAAAATAAATGTACGTTTATCTGTTTGCTCCGGCTACACTCCGTAATAGTTATTAACTGATATTAATAGAATTTTACTCGTAATTATGTGATGCAATTAAAAGTAACTTAGGCAAGTTTTTAAACAACTTCAAAAATTTTAAAGATCTTAATTCATCTAAATGTTTGTTACGCTTTTGCTTTCAAATAAATAACAATTTTAATAGAAAGGACATTGTCCCTAGGTATTTAATTTGACGAAGTCATGGTCTAATTAAGGAATCATCAAGAAATCGAATAAAACATCGGAATGATGATGATGATGATCTTAAATCATCATCATTCCGATGTTTTATTCGGAACCTAAATGGATTAGGATGCGGGCAAAGCCGAAGACAACAACTATAAGATAACACAAGTGACTTCACTTGACGTGAAGAAACTGTAATGGTTATTTGATTGCTTCATAGCTAATAGTATTAAATATTTTTAATTGATTTGGTAGCAATATAAGAAATGTTTTTGGATGTCTAATAATAAGTATGAACATAGTTCCATAATTACTATCAGAACACTGCAATGTGTGAAATTAAGTATCTGTTATTTAAAATTTTCATATTCATTAAAACAACCAGCTTTTAGATGGTATGACACCAAAAATATCACAAAAAATATTAAAAAATATCTTTTTAAAATTTTGTTGTTATTTTCAAATATTGAGATGGTAACAGTTTTTAAAGCAATTTATGCAATACTGTTATAATTAAAAAAAACATAAATATTGATAAATGTGAATTCACATTTTGTTATTAATTAGTAACAATCACAATTCCAAAACACATTTTAAACCGATATTTAACATTACGTAATTAGTCCTACAAAATATTATTATTCAGGTTGTATTATAATGTAGCTCATGAATTATAATTACCAGTTTTTATTTAGATCTAAACTATATATATACAAAAAGCGAGCCTTGTTCAGTTTGATAGAAATAAAATGAGCTTTGAATGTTTGGCGATATGTATATTGTTTAACAAAGGAATAAATATGATGTATTTTATCATCTTACTATGAAAAACAACAACGGACATAGTTTTATGAAGAGATAAATATTTATAATACTAAAAATATATATCAACTTTCAACACAAGGCACTTTTAGTGTAACAATTAAATAACTTAACATTACATTAGATTATCTAATTCATTTTGTATAGATTCAATTTGTAAAAATAATGAATGTATATCTTTATGTGTTAGTTCTACTTCAGTTTCGTTATGTTTATCTGACATTTTTATGTATGCTTTAGGAATCTTACATTTTCTTTGATATTCCGAACTTAGTTCTGTGTTTAGTTTCCAATTGAAATCTGGATTGTCTTGGCATTTGTTCTCTGTTGCTGAAGTTATGTCATTTAAAGTTGAGCTTGTTTCTGTAGACCACACTTTAATTATTGATGCTGTTTTTTCTGAATTAAATCCTAACATTTTCAAGTTGTTTGTCAAATTTGCCGGCATAAAAATATACTTTAGGATTCTTTTAAATATATAAATTATGGTTTTTATAGCTAATACAAGTTGATCTTCATTAATTTTAAAGATTTTCTCCAGTTTTTTCTTTTCATCTTCTGAAAATATTTCCAGATCCTGTATTTTCAGTTTTACAACAATTCTTTTCAAGAATTGTTCAAATTTTAAGTCTTCTAAAGGGTTTATAATATCGATGCCTCTTTTTAAACTGAAAAGTAAATAAATAGATCAAGAAGTAGTAAGTTTATATTAAATTTAGTCGCACTTGTGTAAGTTCTAATAAAAAGGTAACTTACCTAGGTGAACTTTTTATCCAGCTACATTCCATGGTCAATCAATTGTTTACGTGTAGTATTCTTATATGTTAACCTCGACAAGAATACATTTCCTTGTGTCAATGAAAAAGCATTAACATATATACTGTGTTTTAATTGGAGTTGATTATTTAATAATAAAATTTAGAACTTGGAATAACTTGAAATATACCTAATAACAAAAATGTTAACTTCAGTTTTGACATTTGATTATCGGACACAAAAAGAAACTAACAAGCTTAAAAACAGTTTCTTTTATATCACACATTTGAATGAAAAAAAACAATTATTATTTTTTTTAAGTTATTTTTGTTAAATGATTATAGGTTTGAAATATTTCTAGTAAGAACATTTCTTTTACTAAACTATAGAATGAAAATGGCAGCACTTTCATATTGCCAAATGTCAAAGTCAGTCAGTGACTATTGACTAGTGTAAAAATTTCAAATATATGCGGTGGCATGTCGTGGACCGTGGTATTCGATAGTTAGTTGCGTGGAGGTTTCATCATGTCGCTAAAAGTTAACAGGGTTCCTGAAAATATTGATTTTCCCAAAGAAGAGGAAAAAGTTTTAGCGTTTTGGAACGAAATTGACGCTTTTCAGACTTGTTTAAAGCAGTCCAAAAATAAACCGAAGTATGTGCTAAGTAACCTCAATAATAAGAATTCAAAAGAAGCGTTTTAATAAATTATTTCTATTTCAGATATTCGTTTTATGATGGACCGCCTTTTGCGACGGGTCTACCTCATTATGGTCATATTTTGGCTGGAACAATCAAAGACGTTGTTACAAGATATGCACACCAACAGGTATAAACTGTTACTTTTTACTTTAAATGATGTTTGTATAAAAATATCTGTATTATCTATTGTTATTTTCCAGGGATATCATGTTGAAAGAAGATTTGGGTGGGATTGCCATGGTTTGCCCATAGAATTTGAAATTGATAAAACTCTTGGAATTAAAGGCCCTGAAGATGTAGAGAAAATGGGTATTGACAAATATAATGCAGAATGTCGCAAAATAGTTATGAAATATTCAACAGATTGGGAAAACATTATTACCAGAATGGGAAGATGGATTGGTAATTGATGTTAATTTATTTTTATCACTATTATTTTTCAACAATATAATTGAGTTATATCTATTCATTCTTTTACAGATTTTAAAAATGACTATAAGACCTTATACCCATGGTTTATGGAATCTGTTTGGTGGGTGTTTAAGGAATTGTATAATAAAGGTCTGGTTTACCAAGGCGTTAAAGTGATGCCGTTCTCTACAACATGCTCAACACCACTATCTAATTTTGAGGCTGGACAGAACTACAAGGACGTCGTTGACCCTGCTGTCGTAGTAACATTCCCCACTGAAGAAGGGTTTTCTTTATTAGCTTGGACCACTACGCCATGGACTCTTCCCAGTAATCTAGCTCTATGTGTGAATCCAAAACTTACCTATTTAAAAGTAAAAGAAAAATCCACTGGAAATTGTTATGTTTTACAGGAAAACAGATTTCCTGTTATATTTAAGAATGTTGAAAACTTTGATATTCTAGATAAGTTTTTGGGTGAAAAATTAAAAGGTATAAAATACACGCCTATGTTTGACTATTTTGTTGATAGATGCCCAAATGGTTTCCAAGTATTGACTGATGGGTATGTCACCGATGATTCTGGTACTGGTATTGTACACCAATCTCCCTACTTTGGTGAAGACGATTTCAGGGTATGTTTGGCCGCAGGTGTGATTACAAGGGATCAAGAAATGATATGCCCTGTGGATGCTAGTGGCAGATTCACAGAACCAGTCAAAGAATTTCTTGGACAGTATGTAAAGGATGCTGATAAAAATATTATAGCAAACCTCAAAAGTCGCAATCGTTTAATTCAATCTGGTCAAGTGAAACATAGCTATCCATATTGCTGGAGATCTGATACACCTCTAATATATAAAGCTGTTCCCTCTTGGTTTGTGAGAGTTGAACAGATGAGTGAAAATCTATTAAAGTCTAGTGAAGCCACATACTGGGTTCCAGAATATGTCAAAGAAAAAAGATTTGGTAATTGGCTAAAAGAAGCTAGAGATTGGGCCATAAGTAGGAATAGATATTGGGGAACACCAATACCCCTTTGGATTTCCAGTGATAAACAAGAGGTATTATGTGTTGGAAGTATTGCTGAACTAAGTGCTTTAACTGGAAAAGAAATTACTGATCTTCACAGGGAAAGCATTGATCATTTGGAAATTCCATCATCAAGGCCTGGACATCCACCTCTTAGAAGAGTCACTGAAGTCTTTGATTGTTGGTTTGAATCAGGTTCTATGCCCTACGCTCAAAATCATTATCCATTTGAAAACAAAAAAGAATTTGATGAAATTTTTCCAGCTAACTTTATTGCGGAAGGCATAGATCAAACAAGGGGGTGGTTTTATACACTAATTGTGTTGTCAACAGCTTTATTTAATAAACCTCCCTTCAAGAATTTGATAGCTAATGGTCTAATTCTTGCATCTGATGGCCAAAAGATGTCCAAGAGAAAGAAGAATTATCCAGATCCTTTAGAAGTTGTATCTAAGTATGGTGCTGATGCTTTGAGGCTATATCTCATTAATTCACCAGTTGTGAAAGCAGACAATCTTCGCTTTAAGGAGGAGGGAGTGAGAGATGTCATCAAAGACGTCTTTCTACCCTGGTATAATGCATTTAGATTTTTAATGCAAAATGTCGAGAGAATTGTTCAAGAAGACAAAGTCGACTATAGATTTAATGAAAAAGCTGTTAGGGAGAACGTTATGGATAAATGGATAACATCATTTACTCAATCCCTCTTAGAATTCGTATCCAAAGAAATGGCTGCATACAGACTTTACACTGTTATACCGCGGTTAACTAAATTCATCGATCATCTCACAAACTGGTACGTGAGAATGAACAGGAAGAGGCTGAAGGGAGAAAACGGTGTCAAGGATTGCCAAGTAGCTTTGGATACTTTATTTGGAGTTCTATATGACATGGTACGAGTCATGGCTCCGTTCACTCCATTCTTAACCGAATTGATGTATAAAACCTTGAGGGAACTATTGCAGGGAAGTTCCTTAGAAAGTGTACACTTCAACATGATTCCACAGTCAAAGCAAGATTTAGTCGATAAAAACATCGAAAGGGCTGTCCAGAGAATGCAAGCAGTCATTGAATTAGGAAGAGTTTTGAGAGACAGAAAAACAATTCCCATCAAGTATCCCCTTCCGGAAATGATTATAATTCATCAAGATTCGACTTACTTGGACGATATTAACTCTTTACTGTCTTATGTTCTTGAAGAAATGAACGTTAAGACGGTAGAACTATCGAGTGATAAAGAGAAGTATGGCGTTACTTTAAGAGTAGAGCCAGACTACAAGATACTCGGTACTCGCTTGAAGGGTGACTTAAAAGCCGTGACGCAATCGCTCAAAGATCTTGATAATAGTCAATGCGAAAAGCTCATTGCAGATGGTTATATAGAACTACATGGTCAAAGAATCGATGTCTCCGACATTAAAGTTATATTCCAAGCGAAAGGAAGTGATAAATATGAAGCTCATAGCGACAACGATGTTCTTATCTTGTTGAACGTTACTCCCGACCAGGATATGCTTGACGAAGGTTTTGCTAGAGAGATCATAAACAGAGTACAGAAGCTAAGGAAGAAAGCTCATTTAGTACCAACAGATGAGGTAGACGTCTTTTATGCGGTTGATAAAGCCAGTGACATTTTACGCATTATCAACTCTCACCGGGAACTTATCGAAAGCACAGTGAAAGCTCCATTGATTGATGTTGAAAAATTACCCAAAACCAAGGCAGTTATCATCCAAGAAACCCAGGAACTCAAAGGGTCGCATTTAAAATTGGTAATCGCTTGGCGAAAAGAAGTCGAAATGCCCGCAATTCCATGGGCCAATGTAATACTTAAAGATCTCTCACCACGATATGGATGTACTAGTAGTCAGGGGTGTATCATTTTAAAAGACAAAGACAACAAATTTATAGACTTAAAATGTTTATGCAAAGAAATTGAAGGCTTATTCGGAATTTATGGAATGAATTACACACTGTGGTGTGACGGAGCGGAAGTTAAGAATACCGAGAACTTGAACATGAAGAATATTGTTGTTTCTAAAACAAAACCTTCCGAATTCGACTCCCAAAGTACACCTTTTTGTAAATTTTTAAATGTTGTCAATGGTAAGAAAAGCGCTACTATGTTCTTAGAAAATCCCGTCGGTAGAGTTACATTAAGTAAGGAAAAGGCTACAGCATTTCTATCTAAATACTGGGGTGTTTAAAGCTACGATCATCGATAAGTAACGTTAAGTTAAATACTTCATTTATTAAAAAAGTTACGCTTTTGCTTCAGAATTAATATTTGTTGTCACTAGTCAAAAAAAACTCGTGAATAGATATTAGTGACGGCTACAGTATTGTACCACCTAAGCTGTAGTTTGTAGCTTCGGACCTATTTATTACAATAAACGATGGTTTTTTTATGTACATGTTTTTATTGATTCCATTTTCCTTTTATAGATTTACATAGTGGGTTGTTTTGTAATGTTAGAAAATTGTAACAATTATTATGAATGTCACTATAAAAAATTAATCTGTCTGTCTGTCTAGTAGTTTATATTTCTATGTACTAACATGTGTCAGATAAATATTAAAACACAAAATTTAAATTAACCTTTATTTTAAACGATTTATAAATAAAAAAACATAAGCATTATATGAACGGTGTCCATAGTTTAATAGTAAACAGATGTGGTGTGAATAATATTAATTTAATTACAAATTGCGATATTTTTATATCCAAAATCTGATAGGGTCTGCCACTTAAAAGATCTTCAAAATAATAGTACAGTAAAATGTATTTTTTTATATAATGAATTTACTGCAGAAGTAATTTTTTTAATTAAATTTTCTAAATAAAGACAGGCGAAATAAATTGTGAATTGCCTACACAATAATAAATATGTATAAATCTTGCGATTATTTTGTAATTTGATTTCATTTATTTTTTGGACAAAAAAATATCTAGTTTGAAGAAGATGTACGATATATTTTCTAATTTTGTCTTGTTGAGTTCATGTAAATTATAGAAAACATTATAACATTTAGGAAATAAAACGTATATTTTGGTAACTTATGTTAACATTCTTCGACTTGCTGTACACAACTTTGGCGATAAATAAAATTAACCTAGAATGATTACAAATAGTTAACCAAAAAAAAAAACAACGAGACTGTCCAATGTAAGGATTTTTTTACAATAAAAGTTTCCATAGACATGTGTTAGTATGAGAGTATACATTTAAAATTTAATATAAAATCACAAATATATATTTAAAAAAGTATTAGCGAGTGAATTTCGAGATAAAGAATAATTAAAACAAAATAAAAAGCAAAGATTTGCTAACAATAAAGTAGAAGTAAACGACAAAAAATGTAAATAAATCTATTAAAAAAAATTAATACATGTTATTTAATTGGAATAAAATGCACGACCGACGTCTTTTGATATCACAACGCTAACGTAATCATGATACCTGGTTGCATTCGTGTAAAAATAGATTTTTAACTTTAGTATCGCAGTCTCAATCTGTGATAATACTGTTACGGAGCTCTGTTTCACGTATATAATAATTTATTGCTTATATTCATTTCTTTATGTTATTATATATTGCTTTTTAAAAAAAAGAAAAATGGACGTGTAATTTAGAATACATCACATTACATGAACATGTTATAGAAGGAACACTTACTCCTAACAATATACGGTACGGTGCGAACTCCGAGGATAATAGTACAGATAAATAATTAAATATTAACGGTACAGAATCGGATACACTAGTTTACATATCTAATTAGACGTATCAAGCCACGACAACAATTACACAGATTATAATAATTATAATTATATCATTTATTATGCGTCAACAATTAACATTTATGAAGAACACGTGCACTCGTTTTATCTAAATATCTCAAACGGTTATTCAACAAGAAAGGCTCGCGGTCGGTTCCTAGTATGCAATCTATTGCACCAGAGCACCGCGCTAACGGCTCACGACAGCGAATAAATAAATCTTATCTAGTACATAAGAATAATGTAGTACATAGCGAATATAATGTAATAGAAATAACTAAAGATTCATAAACACTTCGTAATACACTATAAGATACAACATCGGCTACTCATTGACTAGTCTAACAGCATTCAACACCGCCCCTCACGCACACATGCATCTGAAACGAATACAAACAATATAACGTTATTTATTACTATAATATGGTGATAATTAATATAATATTATATATATTGCTCCCTTCGTATATAATACGAATAAAGAGACTTGTTCAAAGTCAAATTAAATATTGTTCATGATATTATAAGGATCTGTTGGTGTGCTGTGCATAATTGATTATAAAGGTGTGTTTACATGGCAGTGTAATAAATTAATAATTATCAGAATTCTGCAGCAATAATTTTATATTATTAAAATCTCATTATAAAAAGTTGTTGAAAACTGGACAAATATTCTCAATAGAAGAAAAAAGATTATATAGTAAGGTTTTTAACGCAAATTCTTTACATCAAACTGTATGAGTTCCATCATATTAATGTATTCAATACCAGTTTGAAATACAATATATATAGATGCGTTCCAATGCGCCCCTAAGTGCGTGTTTGTTAATGCGTGTTGGTACGTGAATGCGCGCATGTTGAGTATGTTACATTGATGTGTGTGTGTATGTATATATACTCACTATGCGGGGTAGTGGTGATGTAGGGGCGCGTCTCTGTCGGGCAACTTGCGCACCTTCATAGTACCGTCCGCACCGCACGAGAACAGACGATTGGCATTATCTGGAAAATACAATAAGTATAATTTAATAATTGATTTCAAAAATTAAACGCTTTATCTAAGATTCTATTTCCTAATAAGAACCTTTTATGTTAAAATTTCTAAAACTAACAGATGTGTTATTCTTATTTAAGTCTAATAAAAGGGGGGGGGGGGGTATTAAAACGGGTATTTAATGTTTCCTTTGATAATAATCATTACTAGTTGAATATATAATACCTATATGTATTTGAGTGACTCCTTGTCCTATGTGTTTGAAGAATGAGCTCCTCGCGTGCTCTCCAGCGAACGTGTGCAGCAGTTGGTGAGTCGCTAATGAGAACACCTGCAAGTAATAATACTCACAAATAAATACATATAATGAATTAAAACGACAAAATTATAAGCACATTGAATTTTAGGATTTTTTATTCTTTACTGATGGGACGGAATATACATTTAGGCGATAAAATTTTAGACACTTACAGCGTTAGATAACGAAATAGATAATAATAGTACATATGTTAGTAATTATAAATATACTGCAAAATTTTTTATATAAACAAACCAACTAAGATGTATAAAAACAATATTTAAAAAGACCTTAATTAATTGTAAACTGAAATAGTTAAATGACAGTGATTAATTTTTTGTGCTAGGTATTTAAAATTAATTATCAACCAAATTTTATTTGAATCGTACAACTTTATTTCATAAACAAAAATCATATAAAATTCGAGTTATGTCATTGTAATTAAATTAGGTTTATTGAACATGAATCCCCACTTAGATGTATTAAAGTTTTATATATACCGTACCCATACTTTAGAAGTATTATTATTTAAGGTTAACTTCAAGCGGTACTCTACTTAATCACGTTCACTAGTGACATATAAACGTCGATACAAACAGATTACTAAATATATATCTTTATACATATAATTCTTCTGTGAGTGTGTATGTCACTGAACTTCTCTCAAACGACTGGACCGATTGATGAAATTTTTGTGAGTGTTCAAGGGGATCTGGGACTGGTTTAGATTCACAATTTTGTCCGCTGGACAATGTTTTTTAAATTAATTTTTAATTTATTAGGAGTTGTTGATACACACATTTTTTTACATTAGATTTAACAACTAACTAATATGTCAATCATTCTGTCGCACTTCAAAACACGGAGATTTATGGCTTTAATAGGTAAACTCCAAGAATACAAATAAAAAATCGTAACAGATATTTTTTGATTATAGGGCGATACGAAGTTCGCCGGGTCTTCTAGTATATATATATATATGACCTTGATATCACCATCCGCCGCGCCTATAGCGTAATAGTCCTCCTTAGGAGACAGCGCCACACACTTGATGGGCGCGTGGTGAGCGTGCAGCTTGTGTCTCGGCGCGCGGGCCCGCACGTCCCACACCAACACGTCCCCACGCCGACCGCACGACACTAGCGCCCCGGCGCCGCCTGCCCATGATATACACGACGCTCCGCCCTCGTGACACGTCCACGCTATAACAATACATGAATAGGATAAATAAACCCGTTAAAGATCTCAGTAGTATCTAAATTTAGTTAGTCTCTAATCACGATTTTTTTTTATAACATAGGGGGCAAAAGAAAGGGCTAGCCATCTAATGGTAGATAGTCATCGCCGCCCATGAACACTCGATGAGCCAGAAGGCACCATATTGATTTTGTTCATTCACAAATTCGTCTTTATATAGTTCAATGTAATATTTTATATTACATTGGCGACATCTATAAGAAAATGACACTGACAAAAAGAGAGAAAAAAAAAATCTTATAAAAATCTTCATCGATTGAGGAACTTACAAACAACTAACGCCTTCTTGATTGGCATCAATGTATCCCATATGGCGACATTTTTGCTCTCGGAACTATGACCAGCTGAAACAGAATATAGATAAAATTTTATTATAATTTTTCATCGTAATATTTCGAAATATTTTTATAGCACCATACGTACCTGTAGCAACCAAACTGCATGAACCCAGGAACACGAAATCGCTGATACCTTTGCTGTGGCATTGGTGGGTCTGAAAATTTATTTAAAAAATTAATGACTTTCTTGTTATTGGTGAAAGAATAAATTGAATATGAAATCTACGTAGTTGTTAACAGAAAACAAAGTAAACTATAAAACAGACAGTGAACTGAATATATGATACAAAATAAAATATACATTAAATACATAATGATTATATAAATACCATACTTAAAATATTGTTAGAAAAATTCATAGATCCTGTATTAGCTGAACACTGGCTACACCAAAACTTTAACCTTAGGTACGTAAAGACTTGACGTTCAATACGACAACGTAACTTACAAAGAACGGTCTTCTGGCTTTCGCTGACATTGTATCAGAAGCGAGAGCTACAGACGGCTGGAGTTGCCACAGCGCTAGGTTACCATCGGCGTCTGACGCAGCGAATTTGTTGCCGTAATCCGAGAATCGAACCCGGGTCACTTTAGCGAAGGCGCCGGGAGCGCGCGGCGACCACACACACGAACCGTGACCCCACTCCCATACTTGTACGGAACCATCAGCGCCTCCCGTTAAATCTATAATATATATAGGATTTTTATTAAGCAAACATGTATAAGTTCATGGGATTCCTTCACAGCAACAAAAATGATTACTTTTCGTAGGCTCTAATGGATGAAATAATAGATTTCCTAAAAAAATATATTTAATTGTTCCTTTTATTAGAAATATTTGGATTGTTGCAGAAATGTTGCAATACAGTATTTGAATATTTGTTTGAGATAAATTTAAACAAACATAAATAAGATCAAACAGTAATTACAAGACTTTTACTTACATAGTGGCTGAGAGGGATGTGCTGCCATTCTTTTGATATTATCGATTTTATGTTTCAGCACCTAAAAAAATAAATGATATTTATGTAGTTATCTCTATAACTTTTGTTTTTTTTACATAAATAGACTTTTAAAAAAAAAAGAAAATAAATACAAAAAATAGCAAGCACCTATTAATACAACCAAAGCAAATATAACATGATCGATACCTATAAAACAAAACAACTAGTAACAAGAGGCCAGTGTCTACCATGAGATGAGAAAAATAAATCAAACATGATCATAACCAAAATAAGGTAAAGAAATCGATGTGATTAGCTGGTGAAGGAAAAAAAATCGTTCAATTGAAACAAGAATTAAAAAAAGAAAAATAAAAAAAAACAAGGATCGCTGTATGAAGACCGCAAACAATGTCGTTTCTTAATACATGTGGAGCCGGGTGAGTGAACGTACACTTAGGGCTGGGGTATGTAACTGACCGGTTTCATGAGAAGCTTGGAGCGATGCAGCACCAGCCGACAGTATTTCGCGTCGTGGCAACCCGGGAACTGCAGGCCCTTCACCTGCGGCACATCTCGGTTACACACATACATCACCTATCATCACCTCATACCCTTTGGGATTCATCACCTAATCGATCACCTAGCTATGTATTATGTAACCCCAAGGAACGTATAAGCGAAGCTATATGGAACGCATCACGTCATACACAAGACCCACACCATTCCAACTGACCGGTACCGACTGAATGAGCAAATGAATCGAATGTAATGTTTATAATCAGATATTCATTCTCCCAATCAGTCGGTCACAATGTTAGAGAATCATTCACGTACTGTGACAACATAGGCTTCGTAGCCAGTTGGGTTCGATTGGCTTGGCCTTCGCTCGTGCTGTGGATTTTTATATTATATGATTTATGGATATATATTTGTCTATGGATATGATATTTAGTGCTGTTATAAATATTATAACGATGGATTAGTCTGTGATGTGTTAGTAGTCGTTTGAGTTAAATTAGTACTGTTTATATGATTATATATTAGATTATGTTACCACGCTGGCTCCTCTTCCGGTTTGACTGGCCATTCCGACCGGGACTTGTGGCACGTTGGGGTTCATCGGGGAATTGTTGCCAGTGCCGGGTACAGAACCGCCATTTTGTCTAAAAATAACACAATATAAACACCTGTTCTGGAATATGACAAATATAGAGTTGTAAATAGTAACCATAATATGAGCAAAATCATTTAGAAAATTTATTGTATTAACTTATATATTATTATCTATATTAATTGTAACCATCTTGTCAAAGTGGAAAATAAAGATTCAAATATTTATAGTTATTCACAAATATAATTGTATTATAATTTGTAGAAAATTAATATTTTCCAGGCGATTAGTAAATACGATGGCCTATCTTACAGAATCACAACATACAATTCTAAAATTTCTCTCATTTCCAATCTATTGTAATATTACATATTGTTTTGTCTTAAAGAGTTTCTGATCGTTTTCTAGACGACTATCTCTAAATACTAGTATATACATAATATATACAGTGTACGTACTTATCATGATGCTGTATGAGCAGGAAGCCAGTATCTGGTAGAGCGGCGGGATCGGAGGCTAGTGCCAACAAGTCCACCTCACACTCGTCTTCCGCCCAGCAAGCTCCTCCGCGCAGCAACAGCGACACATCCATCTCCTGGACCTCACGAGCCGTAGCCACCGCTAGAAGACCTCCACCCACCTGAAACAAATATATATAGGGATCTAAATAACTATAAGAAAATGAGATTATGAGTTTCTTGTTTTGTCAGTGAATAGAGATTGTAGATGTTCGATAGAATAGTTTTCAATCATTTCTTCGATAAGTCACTGCTAACTACGCCGTTCTAAACCGTCGCTAATTAAAATAAAACATTAAAAATTTTTTTTAGCCATAACATAACATAATTTTGCCAAAACATTAGCAATTATTTGAATTTTACTTGTAACTTAGTTAAATTACGAAAAACGATGAATTTGTGAATCGAGAATTCAACCAATTAAAAATTGTTCGTAAATAATTTTCTTGTAGCTTTATTATATATGGCGTAATCTTTACCGCATAAATATTGCTCCGTTATACAAATAAATCACCTAGTCTAACCGTTTCTCATATTTGTACTAACCCTATTTAGGCAGAACGCCGCTATTGAGTCTTGTTCTTTATGTATAATCCTCACAGGACTGTGCAGATCGTCGTCTTTCCGCGGCGCTCGCTCGTGTGATTCCGAACATGTACGACGGCGTGAAAACACCGCGCGAATAAACACCTCCTGTATACACATATCATTATTGAAGTGAAACTTATTATGTGACTTTCAACAAGGTTGCGTTAAATGTCTAACGCTGAGGGTGAGAAATATATACATGTTTTAAATAGCCATTTGTGACACGTTATTTAATATAACAATAGAAGTAAACATTAGCACAAGACTACAATTATGATGTTTGCTTTGTTTTGTTTTAGTCATAGTATTTAAGTTCTGGAACAACTAGAAATATATGAAACATGGGGTATAAAATACTAAAAAGATTTATAAAATAGAAAATTATTATACACCTAATAAAGTTAATTTTCAAATAAATTTTACCCTCGTGTATAAAAATTAAAATTACCTGAAATTTTTAATAGTATGTTAAATGTCAATATATTATGACTAATGCTATAACAAACCTGGACTTGTTCCTGTCTTACGAGGTAATTCCACAAACGCCGTGCGGGCGCTGAGCTATACAGAGCAGAATTGAACGGCGTGTTGTGTTTCTCTAAGAGGCATCTGAAATATTACATCATTTAATAAATAAACATTTTAATTTTTCATGTGAGTTTTATTTATTATGATATTATCATCTAATCATTTTTTTAATAAACTTTCACTTCGCACTTTGTCTTGTTTTAGTGGGACTAGATACTAGAATACTAGTAATTCTAGGTATTTATTTAAAGATTTAAATAGATTATATGAAAAATTAACAAATAACTTGATATGATTAGGAAAATTAACATTTATTAATGGAATGAAACTGCACGAAGGTACAGGTAGATACTGATGATATATCATACAATTTATTGTACCGAAATTATGACAATTATCTGCAATATGAGACACATAGAACACCAATCGTCATATGGTACTTATGTGAAATGTTTTAAATCAACAAGATGTTCCGCTGATGATGTAACATTACATATATTCTGTTCATATCCGACCTGTATTTGTTAATGGGCGGTCCTGTAGTTATTTGTTCGGGGAAGCAGCCCGGTATATAGTCCGGGGGCGGCGCTCGTGACTCCAACGTCTCAGTCAACTGCTGCTGCCACTGTTCCACGCGACGGAGCGCTCCGTGGACCGTGGGACTCGTGGTAGCCAGCTCTGGGACACAATACAATATATTATGAATAAATAAACCTCATAAACCATATAGTAAATATATGAAAAAATTGCTTTCAAGCAGAAAGCGTAGACTACGATCAAGGCTTAGGTACTACCTTTCGGACAATTCGTAACTTTATTTTCTAGATTTTTATAATAACTAGGTCAGGTTTTAGGGCTTTTATTGTGTCAAACTTTCTATCTCACTACGAATTAATTTTCTAAGTCAAATCAAAAAATTTTCATAATGAACATCACAAAATATTCCTTCATAGATACGACATCAGATTTCACAATGTCATATGACCGGTTACAAAATTTTGTGACAAAATTTCATCATTTTAAGTGAAGGTTAACTCACCAGACATTTCTATTCCGCAGAGTTGAAGGAAGTGTTGCAGTTTGTGCTGTGCAAGTCTCAGTACGGCCACTCGCATTACGTACCACGAGTAAGAATCTACATCGCAGTGTTCCATATTGGCGCCTTTACGGCGTTTCTCGGTCCTGAAACAAATAATAATTCACATTTTATAAACAGTTTATTAAAGGATAACGATTTCATATGAATGGAAATCTCTTAGCCTTGAACGCGAATAGAAAAATAAATTTTATAGAACTTCGATTTTTTTGCAAATGAAAATAGCTAGATTAAAAATATAAGTGAGTCAAAGATTCCAAAAAAAAGGTTGATTTCTCTGAGGTGATGATTCTTTAGATGTTGGAAAGAAAATACACAAACTTGACTTTAGAAGTATCGAAGATATCATCATCATCACAATCACTTCCACTATCCTCTGCTTCATCTGCTCCGGATTCTGCTGAGTCATAGTCGTTGCTGTCAGGATCTTGTTCCGGCGTCGGCTATAAAATTCATAACTTAGTAATTTGTTCAAAAACATTATCAATATATAATTGTTTAATTATCACCTTAGTTAGAAGGAAAGTCAGTATGCTGTATAGTGGAGGCACAAATTGCTCTCGATACGTCGGTCGACCTTCTTGTATGTTCTTGTGAGGCGCGGTGGGTCCTAGACCTAATAATCTCATGTGTAATAAAGCCCTCTTCTCCCGAAGCGATGACCACACTGACGTACCTTCCGTACGTTCAACCAGCTTTGGCTAAAAACAACATACATGTAAAATACATAAAAAAGGGGTTCCTAAATTCTCTAGTAGAAAGCGTTGGACGTTAAAACCGACTTTTATATCTCCTATTTCGTACATTGTTTTTTATTTTAATTTTTCTAATATATTTTTGTGTATATTAAAGAACATAATAATAAAACATACCTGAGGGGCAGCTGGTGCGGTCGTAAGTAATCTTTTAACTCCTCCTCCGAATAATTTTGAATGTGCTTTATTATCTGTGGTGTGTGCAGCCAGGCGATAAAGTAAGTGTGCGTCCCTAGCTGCGAGGGCCCATCCCAGTAATGCCAAATACACAGCACAGAAGGCCTCCGCCAGTAGAACTGGTAATCTTGGTGCTTCTTCCTCTTCCGCAGCTCGTAAAGCTAAGCCTCTAAGAGCTGATACACCTGGAAATTGGTTAGAAATCAGTATGTACCACTTTCGTAAATTATACATATAGAAATTGCACTAGCTTATGTAAACTATAGATTTCGTACCTGGCCATTTATTAGGCGGAGTAGTTACAGACAGTTCTTCCACTGAGTACCGTCGTGGTCTTACAAGTAGGTTAGTCGTCCCGGGAGTTTCCGCTATCATACTGCAACATAACACAAAGCTCAACATAAATCGCTTTAATTACACGTGTGTGCACAATTATAGCAAACTAGCTGCGCCCCGCGGTGTTACCCGCGGATTTCCGGGATGTAAAGTAGCCTATATGTTATTCCTGGACGTCAGCTTCCTGTATACAAAATTTTATCAAAATCGGTTCAGCTGTTTGAGCGTGAAGAAGTAACAAACACACACTCACAAACTTTCGCAATTATAATATTGGTAGGATATGTTATAACTTACCCGTCGTGATGATGTGAATGTTTGATGGTGAAGGTGTCAGAATCGCACAAACTCTGGTATATACACGCAGATAGCGCCACAGCTAACTCTCGTAATGTATGTAGGACCCTGGATGCTCCGCCGCCAGGCACACCGAGCTCAGACAAAGTGCCCAACATATCGTGAGCTACAGACTGATGACAGACAAAGAGAACGATTATATGATATGACTGTCATATCTATATGTACTAGAGATTCATTGAGATAAATATTGCTCAAACTTAGAAATGGAATTTATAAAAAAAATCAGATTAATATAAGCATTTTTGGCTTTATACAAGGGCATTTAGAGTAACAGTAACTTTAAGTGATTATTTGTGAATATACTTAAGAACTGAATGTATGAATCGAGTACATTTTGATTTTATTGCTCTTATGAGCTTTTCAAATACAATTTTTACAAGCATTATTTTATCTTTCACGACGAGATCAATTTTAAATTATAAATATTGTTAATTCATCCAACTACATGATTTATATACTTCTTAAGACGAAACCTTACTTGTAAATGTCGTACGGGATCGGCAACGACTGTATTATTGGTAGCAACGGCTGCTGCTAACAGCGGCAGTGTGGTCGGGAACGGCAGAGGCGACAGCAGTTGCTGATGCTGTTTATCCTGGCCCAGTTCTTGCAGCAGCAACACTAATTCCATACGTACTGAAGCCAGGCCACCTCCGCCAGCACCATGCAGTGAACAGTATGACAGAAGCGTACGAAGAAGAGTTTCGTTGGCTGGAAATATAATGTAGTAGTTTTGTAAGTGTTAGTGACAAGTATAAATAAGTAAAAAGATATCTAAATAACACTAATTGATTAAATTTACAATTTAAATTTTATGTACAACTTGATATTAATGATTCTGCTGACCATCAACAATAATAATCAAGAAAAATATATGCTCTTATAATAATGTACCTTTCAGCCATTTTTTCCTACGCACAGCCCGTTGCACTTTAGCCTCAAAGTCAGCCTTCTCTCGTACAAGCAGCTGATGTAACGTTGGTTTTTCAGGTAATGGTGGGGATTCCCCATCAGCACAGATCAGTTCACCGCCAGAGGCAGCCCCCGATGCTGACACGTATCCACAAAGACGACGAAGAGCCTCCACTTCACGCTCCAACCAAATGTACAGTTGGTAACGGAGATGCCCGCCTGTGTTTAACATAATGTTTAGTGTAACGTAACAAATAATTAATAATTAAGTTGTAAAACCCACCGTCCACTTCAAAGCCGGTGGCAAGGGTGCTCAATTCTTCCATCAATATTTTGAGACAGGCGACGAACTTTAATTGCTGTGCCATTATATCCACTGTAGGTGGTTCTTCAGGTTTCTCTGCGTCCACAACGCCATTGACAAGTGGTTCTTCCTCTTTGTTAATTTTGATTTCGAGAGGCGGCGTTGATGCTCCTGAACCCTCTGACCTATTAACAATATAAGCTATGTAAGATTTTGTTGATATTAAAGCTATACAGGGTGTATGAAAAACTGTGTCAACCCTCTTAACTACGTTATCAGTATCGATAATGTAACACAATAAAACAACTTACATTTACAAACTCTTCAATAAAAATAATAAAATTAAATATTAAATGATTATTATATGTAGAGTAACAAAATGTTTGTAAGCCCTCCATTCCGTCTCGGTCACTCTTGACGGCCGGTCGCGCGCATTGTGCTTACAGTTGATTACGTTTACCGACCGGTATATACAGAGTAGTGACTACACAGAGATATAGAGATATTGCAACACTTTTTATTATACACGGATATGTCTTCGCCTACACATTCCAACGATGCTCAAGACATAAGTTTTACATCACTCACCGATGGATCACCCGTAAATTGCGTGACAACTAGAAGAACTCGTGTTGACACGGAAGGTGGTCTTAATCCATTGTTAAAGGAACTACGTGAGTTCAAGGAGTCAATGGTTAACAAAATGGACAAATGGTTCGCCAGACAGGAAAATATGATATCCAAGGTTGTAAAGGAATTCAACGAAGTTAAGCAAACAATGAATCAAATGTCAAATTATTTTGACGAACTAAACAACAAGACCACGGCATGTCTCAACCGTCTAGCTGAAACAGAAAAGAAGGTAAAAAGTCTAGAAGAACACACTAAAACAATAACTCAATTGGAAGCGAAAATTGAATCAATGGAGCAACATTCACGTCAGTGCAATGTAGAAATTCAGAACGTACCTGAGAGACGTAACGAAAATCTAATAAAAATAGTTGAACACATCGGAACGTCTATTAAGCAAAGCATAAGTCCGAATGATATAGTATCTGTACACCGAGTGCCTCATGCTGATACAAAGAGCACACATCCTAAAAGTATTGTCGTAAAATTATGTTCCCGGATTCTGCGTGACAATATACTGTCTGCTGCTCGAATGAAGAAAGGTTTATACACAGATGACTTGCATATTAATGGTGAAAATCGCAGAGTTTACGTAAATGAACATCTTACATTACGAAACAAACAACTTTTTAGAAGTGCTCGTGAAACTGCTAAAAGGTGTAATTTTCGCTTTACTTGGATTAAGCATGGTAACATTCTTGTGCGCGAGTGCGAAACATCCCGAGTTATTGCTATCCGTTCGTATGAAGACTTGTCTAAAATTAAATCTTCTAAGTCCTCCTAGTAAGTTAAATAAAAAAACACATCACGTATTAGTTGTTACTGTTATACTACTCATTAAAAAATATTATTGCTTGCCACTATGTTTACACGAATTGCTCTGTCCTGTTAATTACTCTGTGCAAATGTTTTCAAATTACCTTACATTTTTATTGGTATTGTGTTTATTAAATAAGTATTTACATATAGTTTTACTCCATAATATCAAATATTTATTCGTAATTTATCATTTATCTATAATATTATATAACACTTATATAAAGTATGATATTTATATTTATTATACACTACATTTTGTACTTCACAATAAAGTCTATAGTGGTTGCGTAATGAAACGATTGACTTCTCGATGCGGGAATAACAAATTCATATTCAATTTACTGATTAATTCAAATAAGTTATATTCTTATACTATAACTTCGTTTTACTATTATTATTGTTTAATAACAATGATTTACCAAGCTTCCAAAGATACGTTATCTTTTTACACAAACACGTTAAATTGCAAAATAACGTATCTACTATTTTTTGATGTTTACAATGTTCTTAAAATATATTCACCCATAATACGATATATCTTAAACATAATATGTGAATATAATACCAACATCTTATACACAATATGCAATATTATTCGAATTCACAGGTAATTTATCATTTTATTATCAAAATTGTGGTGGAATAAAAACCAAACTAAATACCATTTATATGAACATCTTAACTTATTCTTATGATATTATCGTATTAACCGAAACATGGTTAATTCCTAGTATTTCAGATAGTGAATTTATAGACAGTAGGTATATTGTATTTCGATGCGACCGGGACCGTACCGCCACAGGTAGGGAGGAGGGCGGCGGCGTGTTAGTGGCCGTGCGCCGCGAGCTGCGGCCCGTGCGCCGCGCGCTGCCGGGGCCCGTGCCTCCTATTGTCGATTGCGTCTCTGTTGAGGTACCGAGCGCGTCCCGAGGTAAGAAATGCATTGTGAACGCAGTATACATACCACCTAATCAATGTTCGAATACTTACGTGGTATATCTCGACTTAGTTTGCGACATAGTGTTGTGTGATAATGTAACTGAGCATTTTCTAATAGGAGATTTTAATCTACCTAGCCTTGAGTGGGGAGTAAATAATGGTCTTTGTTTACCTTCTATAAGAAATGATACTGTATATGCTGGTAAATATCTTGTGCAAATCCTCTCTTTACTGAATGCCACTCAACATAACATTTACAAAAATAATTTAAACCGTACTTTGGATTTGTTCATATCGAACACTGATTGTACTTGTCTGACGCCTACATCGCCTCTGTCTCCACTGGTGCAGCACCATCCATATTTCTATATTCTCAGCAAAATAACTACGGCACTTATATCTATTCCAAGACAACCACGAATCAAATTGTGTTTTGCAAAAGCTGACTACATAAATATTAATGAAGCTATTAATAAAGCAAATTGGTCTGACATTTTAATTGGTTCTATTAACGAAATTATAAATATATTTTATGAAAAACTATTCTCAATTATAAAGTTGTTTACACCGGTCAGCGTAATAAAAAACAGTAATTCTCCATGTTGGTTTACCCCAAGTCTTCGACGGATATTTAAGGCTAAAGATAAAGCGTGGGTAAAGTGGAAAAAGTATAAAAATACTGCTGATTATGAACTCTTCTCCATGTATCGAAGCAGATTTGATACGGAAAGTAAGAAGTGCTTTGACAATTACATATCATTTACGGAACAAAGTTTAATTAAAAATATAAAATCCTTTTGGAATTACATGTCTAGTCTTAAAATCAAACCGGGAATACCGACAACAATGACCTATATGGGTAATTCATCAAGCGACCCTGAAATGATATGTAAAATGTTCGCGCATTTCTTCCAATCTGTATATGAGCCATCTACACTTAATATAGAAACATGGGAGTCATCAGTAGGTGATACCAACTCTAGTAACAACAATATATGCTCTTTATATTTTTCTGAAAACGATGTCTACAGGGTGTTAAGGGCACTAGACTCAAATAAAGGTGCTGGACCTGACTCCTTACCGCCTTTGTTCATAAAGCTTACCGCGGATACACTATGCATTCCACTTACAATTATCTATAACAAGTGTATGCAAGAAGGTATTTTTCCTGATTTATGGAAGATGGCGCATATAACACCCGTTTTCAAGAGTGGAGACAGAGACAATATTGAAAATTATCGACCGATATCGATTTTGTCAACGCTAGCGAAAGTCTTCGAACGATTAGTGCACGCCCAATTGTACCCTCTTGTGCATAATGATATCTTACAGGAGCAGCATGGATTTGTACAACAGAAATCTACTACTACTAATTTATTGTTATATGCTACTTACTTGTTTGAGAATATGGACAACAGGGTGCAGGTGGATGCTGTGTACACGGATTTTCGCAAAGCATTTGACAAAGTGGACCATGAAATCCTTTTAAAGAAATTGGCCTTCAACGGCGTGAGAGGTAATTTATTGAGGTGGTTTGCTTCGTACATTATCAACAGGTCTCAGAGAGTCGTAGTTAGAGGCTTTGAGTCTGATACTTTTACTACATCCTCCGGCGTGCCACAGGGATCTATACTTGGGCCATTGCTTTTTACAATCTTTATAAATGACATAAACCAATGCTTCAAACATTGCAAGTTCCTGTTGTACGCGGATGATCTTAAATTATACTTAAGTGTGCGGGACTTGTCGGACTGCCATGATTTACAAAGCGATCTTAACAGGCTTAGCGAATATTGTGTTCTGAATAAATTACGTCTCAACTTGACCAAATGTAACACTATAACAATAACTAAAAATAAAAATATAGTTAAGCAAGAATACTGTCTCAATGGGACTCAATTAAATAGAGTAAATCATGTACGTGACCTTGGTATCATTATAGATTCGCACCTTCATCTCGATAAGCATGTTGACAATATTGTTAATAACGCATTTAAAATGTACGGATTTGTGATGAGATCAACTAAGGATTTTAAAAAGCCGTCTACGCTCATATATCTGTATTCCAGTTTAATCAGACCACAACTTGAATATGCATTACAAATCTGGAACCCCATTTACAATAAATATGTTGATCAGATAGAAAATGTGCAACGTCGGTATTTGCGTTCATTACATTACAAATTCACACATTCCTATCTGTCATATTCTAATTTGCTTGATAGATATAAATTGGGGAGTCTCGCATCGAGAAGAAAACTGTTGAGTGCAATATCCTTATACAATATCTGCAACTCTAATCTAAACTGTTCTCAATTATTAAGCCACATATATTTCTTAGTACCCAATCGAGTTTCATTACGTAACACACGAACACCAAAATTATTCAAACTGAAAAAATGTCAAACTAATGCTGGCAAGCGAGCACCATTGTACCAAATGACCCAAACGTACAATGCTGAATTTCATAATGTTGACATTTTTGGGTCAACAATAGGTGCATATAAAAAAAAAATTAAAGCCATTACTGAAAAAGCAAACAATAATATTAGTTAACAGTATGTAATAATAAATTCAAATTATATATTTATTATGTGAATGTGTGTGTAATTATGTATGTGTATTTATATTTCTTATATATATATATATATTTAATATTGTTATTATTATTATTTTTTTTTAAATTATTCATTGTAATATCTCTTTTATTTCTTTTTTTTTTTAATGTACGTAGTGGATAACGGTGTGGTTTGTGCATTTATTAAGGTTATAAAATTGTATAATGTATATTTTCATA